GCTACCTCACCTTTGATTTTTGCCTTATGAATTGTTCTTCTATGAGTAAGAGACTTGTGTACCATCGAATAAGATCCTTCTCTTGCATCTTGAGTTCAATGTCCATGTGATTGTTATCCAAAAGCTGTTGATAATTAGAGAGGCTCTATTTTGCTTACTTCACCATAGCAGTTGCCTGTGAAATCTCAACCTTGCATTTTTGCCTCAGGATTCCTTCAAGAGCTTTCAGTTTTTCACCACTTGATACATGTATGCCCCATTTACATAGGTTGCCTATACCTGCTCAATTGCTGGAAGAAAGTGAGGACTAGTTACCCAATAGTTAAAGTACCTGAATGGGATCATTTTGGAGGAGAAATTGCCTAATTTGATAAGTATAGGGTTGTGATCTAAAAGACCTGATGGGAGAAAGATACAGTCTGACACGGGGAAGGAAATTGACCATTGCTCATTACATAGGGCTCTATCTAGCTTCTTTGCGATATTAGCAACCCCCAAGCTCATATTGTTCCAAGTATGGTGGATCCCAGAGAACCTCAAATCATCTAACTATGAGTGTAATAGGCAGTCATTGAAATCAATCATAGCACATGACCACCTTTGTGATCTTCTAGATTTCTCATGGAAATTAAAGATGACATTGAAATCCCCAATGAGAAGCTGCTGTGAATCACTGAAAAAACTTGCATGATGATTAATATTATCCAATAGCTCTCTCCTATCCAAGTAATCATTAGATCCATACATAAAGGATACAAAATATTGTTTATTATCAAGGGGGATTACAGAACAGTGCATAATTTGCCTATTATAATGCAAGAGAATAACATTAATTTTATCAGGATTCCACAGAATCCAAATTTTTCCTAAAACAGAGTGTTCATAGTTATTTAGAATAGACCATCGGGGGGAAATGATTATGTGGATGTCATGCATGTTACTAGAGGATACTCTTGTTTTCATCACTACTAGCAAGTCTAGCATGTAGGTTGAGATAAAACTCTGCAGCTCCAGCAGCTTAGGGAGGCCATTTAGGCCTCTGATGTTCCAAGCTGTGAAGTTAATCATTGAGAGGGGTTTTAGAGTTACTTATCAGATGTCTTAATCCTTTGAATGGTAAAACGTGCATTGGAAGACCTTTGCATTTCATCTTAGTGCTAATTTTCTTTTTCCCTTTGGATGTGGCACAACTTGTCTGGCTGTGTGAGGAGAAAGAAGCCCGAGACACTAATTGTTCAGGCTCTGCCTAAGATGAAACCATGTAATCATGTCCTTATAAACCAGGTAAAGTGCAATAAACCCCCCTAAACTATCTTCTCTCTCCCAAGAAACCCCCTTGAACTACTATTTTGACAGTTAACCCCCTAAACTTTTTTTTTTTTTTTTTTGCAAAATACCCCAAGCTGCTACTGTTCCGGTTATGTGATTAACCAATTTTTTTTAAAAGATAATTTTGCCCTTTATGACATTTAGGGCATACCCCTATATAATGGGTTAACCTATAGCCGTAGGATTTACCCATTTTTAATTGGTAAATCTGGTAACCCTAACAATTCTCCCCCTCTACAATTCTTTCTGCCACCACCATTTAAACAAAATCAAAACCCTAATTTCAATAGAAAAAATTAAGAATCTACTTCGATAGTTTCGTATAATATACAAAAAGCCAAAACCCGAACTTCTTTATTTTAATACAAACTCCATGAAACAAACAATCAAATTTATCACCAAAAAAAAAAAAAAAAAAAAAAACCAATGGTTGAATTAACTATTAGAATTGGAACAATTTAATGTGGAAAAGAATCGAATGGCTGCGGAAGGAGTAGAATTTTCACTTCCAGCATGACCTTTAAGCCAATCACAGTTGAAGATCAGAAAATAGATTGGATCTGACTGTCGGCTTCATCTTCGTCCTCTTAATCGTTCTTGTTCATTTTGTGTTGAATAATTTGGGGTTCCAAACAGAAATTTCACCTCTTCACCTTGTTCACTGATCATTGTTGTCTTCTTCAATTTCTATCGTTGCCGGAGTTGGATAGATCAGGGGGGTTTATTGTGATTGGTCGGCAATATCTTTAGCTGCAGGAGAACAAGCTCGTAAGAGAGCCTAAAGAGAGAGAGAGTTATGTGTAAGGCCATGTTTGGCCCTAAAATATGTAGTGTAATCTAATTAAGCCGTGTTTGGCACTAATGTAAAGTGGGTTATTATTATTTTTTTTTAAGTATTTAATAGATTATTGCGATAAGGTGATGTGCTGTTACAATACTATTGGCTATTTAGATTGCATTTGCCACGTTAGCAACATCAGAACAAAAACAATAAAACGACAGAGTTTCACTAAAGGGTAATTTCGTAATCAAACATTTCCGGTGGTCTCTAAAGATAGCAATTTTTGGTTTTGTCCTTAAAATGCACTATTTTGATAGTTTAGGGGTAATTCTTAATTCAGGGGGGTTTCATGCAATTAGGTAATAGATCGGGGGGTTTTTTTTTTGCACTTTACACTTATAAACCCTTTGTTTAAAGAGTAATACTTAGGTCCTCACTAATGAGAATCTACACCATCTTCACTAGTGGTGTAGACCAGTAAAAAATAGACATGTCATCATAGAGATTATGATTTATTATGATGGGTAAATATACACTTACCAAATCACAACCAAATTACATAAATGGTAATTTATTATTAGTCCACATCACTAGTGAGGATGGTATAGATTCTCACTAGTGAGGACCTAAGTATCATTCTTGTTTAAATGATGTGGCAATGCAATTATTCTGCAATAGAGAAACTCTTCCCTGAAGTGGTGGTAACTTATGATGGCGAGGGCCATTGTTAAATGATCCCTCTTGCTTTGTCTGCTCCATAGAGACGATCAGGTCACCGGTTGGAGGTGGGATAGGTGAGACAGCTGGTAAAGGATCATTCTCCTGAGCATCAACGAAGTTATCCACCAAAATAGGTGTTTTTTTTATTTATAAAGGTTATGTAATAGCCAAACATTAATCACTTATTATTAGGGCAGTGGTTACAAAAATCATGATATTAATATAATATATTATAACACTCCCTTACCAAAAAGGCCTCTTATAGCTAATCTTCTTTTTTAAAATAATTTCTTTTATGTTTCCTTTTTCAAAAAGTCGTATCAAAACATAAATGTCAATATATATACGGATTAGCTTTAGTCCAACCATTCTGGAGGGTCTAATATTAACCAATACATCTAGTGGATGAAAAATAGAACATTTTAATCATGCAATAGCAATCTTAGGAACAAAAAATAAAGGTTGGACAAAAGCATCTAATCAAACCAGGACTCAAATTATTCAGTTGTGGATTTAATACTAGGTGCTTTTATAGAAGTAAATAAAGAAAAAAAAAAAATTATAGTCCATTCATACATATGTAGACGCAAATATATGGGCATATTTACATGCATATAAACATTACCATTGAGTGTAAGAATGGTATGAATTACCTCTTCAGGCTTTGAAGACTCTTCATTGAAAAAAGAATTGTAAGCTCTCTTCGTGCCTTCCATATCTTCAATAATTTAAATTAAAAAACAAAAAAAGTGCTGCTTAGTATAGTGTATTTACAACATACAAGATTTACATTCCTAAAAAGTAAATTTGTGCTTCAGGAATGCTGTTTAAATGGGGTGCATTAGCTGTGGTACAAGAATTGGGAAAAAAAAAAATTATTCAGAAATTAGTCAATATTGAAATAAAGACATGCATTGTTTAAACAAATATATCAATTTACATACATTTGTTTTCAATTTGCATAGGAGAATTCTGTTAAATGAAGTAGTAACTCAGCTGATGTTCAGGAGAAATTATCATTAATCACTTATTATTACGGCAGTAGTTACAAAAATCATGATATTAATATATTATAAATATAACTCAGCCAAACATTAATCACTTATTATTACGGCAGTAGTTACAAAAATCATGATATTAATATATTATAACACTCCCTTACCAACGCTAGATGGCCTCTTATTGCTAATATTCTTTTTTAAATAAAATTCTTTTTATGTTTCCTCTTTTCAAAAAGTCGTATCAAACATAAATGTCAATATATATACGGATTAGCTTTAGTCCAATCCTCCGACCATTCTGGAGGGTCTAATATTAACCAATATATATAGTCGATGAAAAATAGAACATTCTAATCATGCAATGGCAATCTGAACAACAATCTCTTTCTTCCCATTATCCTACATCTCCACTAAAGGAGAATATATACGGGTTTTCACGTAGGCTTTGTACATCCAAGTGGACTGAACCATATGAAACTTATTGGGCTCTCAACATAGAAAGGAACCAGCCCAACAATACTTGTCCATCCACTGTGGTTAATTGCTAATAAAAAAGATGTCTCACATGTTCTATACGTCACAAACATTTTTTCCAGCTTTCAGAAACTTGGAACAAAATTTTGTACGAGCATATAGACATGAATTTTTGTCCTTATAATAGGTCTAATTTTATTTCAAAAACACTGAAATAATAAATAAAAAAATTACAAAATTTTAATATACATAAGGAATCATGTAAAATCTTAACAATGACATGGATCCAAAGTGTAACTTTTTAAAATTAGTCCAAAATCGTATAACTGAATTCCTAATGGTTCAATTCTATTGGTATCAAAATTGGATTCAATTTTAATTTTTATGAAATCGTTACGGGCTCATTTAGTTTCAAAATGATTTAATCTGGCGGATCAAGTGGCACTCGAAATATTTAACGACTTATAAAATTTTAATACTCCATATATCAAAGTGGTAATATATCAACAGTATATTTCAATAAATCATGCTATAAATCTGGTAATTGTGCACGTCTTATCTTATAAGTAGTTCAACTTATCTCATTGGTGGACATGTCTTCTTCCCCTATAAAATACCGCTGTTTCAAAGCAGTGTCGACAGTGCTGAGTTTAGAGAGAGAAAAAGGATAATATGGTATGAAGTAGGAAAAAAAAAAAAAAAAAAAATGTTATGAAGTAGAGAGAGAAAGAGAGTTTTCCATCAATTTGCTTTGTAGTTACTTCTCTGTATTTATCTTTCCCTTTATCAATCTCTTTCTTTTCAATAATTCAACTGAGCTTTTCAACCTTGTTTTGTCTTTTTCCTCCATTTTCTCATCATTCTCTCTCACTTTCCCGTCGATTTCATCGGCTAGAAAGCGACGGAAAATTCCTTTTGTTATTATCGATCTATCCAACCCAATTTTCTCTGGTTCTATCATTTTTCCAACAATCTCTCTAAATTTTTCAATTCTTTCACTGATCAAATTATAAGGTTTAGTTTTCTAATCAGTATCAGTATAATGGTTTAGTTTTGCTGTATGTATCAGCGTTGAAGATCGTCTCAATTCTGTTGTTTTAATTGTTCTTTATTTTAATTATGTTTGATTAATTAATTGTAATCGTTTTGATTTTGATTATGGACTGATCAATTGTTGATCGAAATTCTAATTATCTGATCTTCATATGATCTATGCGTTACTGTTGACTCAATCCCTTTTAATATATCAGGTGTTATATATATATACACGTATACATATATATATAAATTCGTCAAATACTTTAATATAATTAAAATGAATTATGGTTTTATTATATATGTGTCTGTGTGTATAAGTAGTGGCGTAGGTCATTTCAGTTTAGTTGGTTTTTATTTAAATTTGAAGTATTTTTTATGCTTATTGCGAGATTAAAGATCAATGTTTGATGAAATCCTAATTTCAATTTTTTTTAACCATTCATTGTGTGTGTATATGTGTGTTTAGTTTGGATTTCTTATATTTTGAAGGTCTTGAAGGCAAGAAAGGGGTATCTGGTATCGGCCAATGTCTCTCAGTAAAGACCTTCTTTTCTTGATCTTACAGTTTTGTGATGAGGAAGATCTCAAAAGAACTGCTCACATGTAAGTGTTTCTTTCTATCTTACCTTTCTCATTCGAATTTTCGAACCGCTTTTGTAATTACTTCTGTTATCATTTGTCAAATAGGCTTGAGCAGGAAACAGGTTTATTCTTTGACATGAAGTATTTCGAGGATCTGGTGCTTGGTGGCAATTGGGATGAAGCTGAGAGATACCTTTCGGGTTTCACCAAACTCGAAGATGACAAGTATTCAAACAAAATCTACTTTGAAATTCGGAAACAAAGGTTCCTTGAGGCATTGGATGAGTAAGTTTGTGATTTTCTAATATTTCATATATCATGTTAATGTAAGTTTTTAATTTTTTCAGCATTATAATTAAGTAGTATTTGTTGATAGGCATGATTGTGCAAGGGCTTTAGATATCCTTATGAAAGATCTAAAAGTTTTTGCCCAATCAAACGAAGAGCTGTACAAGGAAATGACAATGCTCCTGACTTTAGACGATTTCAGGTATAAATTTTCCACTAAATTTGCAATATCAAACATAACAAGAGGAGTATACTCTGATATGGGCTAAATGAAATTCATCTGGAATTGACAGAAAGCACGAGTCACTCACCTTGTTTGGCGATGCATTGTCTGCTAGAAAACGCATGATGAATGAACTTAAAAATATTATCGAGGACAATCCCATTTTCCATGAAAAACTGAAGTTTCCTCACATCAATAAGTCAAGATTGAGGCGCCTTGTTAACCAAAGGTTATTTTCTTCTCTCTATATATATGTGTGTGTATACACTTTTGATGCTATCTTTTAATCAGATGAATTGGTTAACTATGTTGTAACACTGCTATTACTTGGTTCAATCAATTAATTACTGTTGTTGATTCTTAGGTACTAAGATACTTTTCATAATTTATAGCTATACTTATTGGACGTCAAGATTGAACTGATTTTACTTTACAATCTGGCAGCTTAAATTGGCAGCATATTCATTGCTCACATCCTCAGCAAAATCCCGATATAAAAACCCTCTTTACGGATCATCAATGTCCACTACCCAATCATCCATTTGCTGAATCAATTGAGATGAATCCGCTGGTAGAATCCTAACTGAAAACTGTAGTCTGTCATTCCTTTATACATCATCCCCTTCCAAAAGAAGCCAGTTGAGTTTCGTATGTTATTTATTTTATGATATCTGTATACAGATTCTTAGAATGCTTGAATTTTGTATTCAGCCTTCCAGAGACACGTCAGTATCGGTATCACCTTTCTCTGGCAAGGAGGCTTCTGCTGTATCTTCTGTAACTCAATATATAGTTTCTGATGGAGCTCTCAAGCTTAGTGCCCAAACGACAAATCCAGGTAGTGGTTATAATTCTTTTCTAGTGCTTCTGGTAGGTTCTGATTGAGCTCATTTATTTCACTGATTATTTACATGACAACTGCCTGTTGATAGATGCAACTGTGAAAGGGTTCGGGGATTTTGATAATACATCCAAAACAAGATCCACTGGAACTTTGGATGAGGTGAAATGAATTGACATTTATTGCAGTAGTGCACAATACTACTTTCGATTTATTATTTATTTACTCTTTCTACTTGTTATTTTTATCGATAAAATTTCTTCTTTGTTATTCTGTCCTTACTTTTGTGCAGGTGGCGTCATCCGTAACTTCATCCATTCAAAGTAAGAATTCTGTATCCGACATCCCTGGTGATTTGCCCAAGACTGTAGGACGCATTTTGAATGAGGAATCTTCTCCAACAAGCATGGATTTTCACCCTGTTCAACCGACTTTTCTTCTAGGTTTGCGCTTCTATGAACCTATATATCCATGTATAGGTGATCTGCCCTGGAATCAACTCATGAACACTGTCGATATAATTTTTCAGTTGGAACAAGTGTTGGGGACGTAGGGTTGTGGGAAGTTATATCCGGGGAGAAACTGTTTTCAAGTAAATTTAGTGTTTGGAAGATCAAAACTATTTCAATTGCATTCTTGGTATATCCCCTTCCTATCTTACTAAGTTATTTCCGTTGCCTCGGCTCACTTTAATGTCATTCGATCTGATTTTTGGATGACCAAACTATATTCAGGTGACTCTGCTCAAAGATCCACGTGTCTCAGTTAATCGTATAATATGGAGCCCTGATGGTTTGCTATTTGGTGAGTTTGATATATTAGAACCCAAATGGCTTTAGTAGGCACTGATGTAAATCTTTTTGTTGTTCTGAACCCTATTGTGATTGGTTTTGCTTAAACAGGTGTTGCATATTCAAAACACATTGTGCAGTTATATTCTTATCATGGTGGTTGTAATATCCAGAAACAATTGGAGGTAGATTTCTAATAGAGTAATAGTTCTCGTTTTTCCTAACATTTTGTGGTTCCAGGTTTGCTACTTTGCTTCACATACTGAGTTTTCATGTCTAGATTGATGCGCATGCTGGTGGTGTAAATGATCTTGCATTCTCCAGACCATATGAGCAACTTCTTGTTGTAACCTGTGGTGATGACAAGTTAATTCAGGTTGGTTTACAAGTTATAAAGTAGTTATTTTTATGTCACAGTGAAGTTAACAGTTCACTGACTACTATTGGAATAAGGTGTGGGATGTGATTACTGGTGCCAAACAATATACTTTTGAAGGTCATGGGGCACCTGTTTATTCCATTTGTCTTCACGCAAAGGAAAATATCCACGTAAGGACCTCAATTTATATGTTAGCTGCTTTCTCTTTTCCCATACGATCAATATGGTGTATGTTAAGTATTTGCCTTACTTTGGTGATACATTATGTCTTATGCCTCAGTTTCTGTTTTCAACATCGATGAATGGTGAGATTAAAGCATGGTTATATGATAATATGGGACCAAGGGTAGACTATGATGCTCCCAGACACTGTTGCACAAGAATGGCTTACAGTACTGATGGTAAAAGGTGGTTTACTGGACCTGCTATAGCATTTTTATTTTTTGCATGCCAAACTGAAATGTTGTTGTTAATCATTGAACTCTTTTAGACTCTTTTCATGCGGGACCACTAAAGGCGGAGAGTCAGTCATTGTTGAATGGGATGAGAGTGAAGGTTATGTGAAGAGGACATACCGAGGACTTTGCAATTGTTCATCAGAAGTTGTACAATTCGATACAAGCAAGAACCAGTTTTTGGCAGCTGGTGATGACCATTTAATCAAAATTTGGGATATAGACAATGAAGAACTTCTGACAACTATTGATGCAGAAGGAGACCTTCCTGTTTGTGCTTTATCCAGCATGTTCAGTTTGTCATTTTAATTATGTTTTCCTTTTTTCAAATGGTACTTTTAATTAAGGCAACTCCATATAAGAATTGTAGTCTAATTTGCTTATCTACTTCTTTTCTGATTTTAAGGCAACTCCAAATATTTGCTTCAATAAGAAAGGCACATTATTGGCTGTTTTTTCCAATCATAATGGAATCAAGATCTTGGCAAATGATGATGGCCTTCGGTTGTTGCAAATTTCTGGATCTCATTCCGATAATGCCTCTAGAATTCTCTCAGAAACTTTGAGAAAGGTCAGTATGCTAGCCTCCCTCTGTCCTTTTCATAGAATTTTTAGCTACCTAATGTTTGTTACGACATTCAGCTTGTAATCAATCCAAAGAGAGAAGAGAGAGCGGTAAAAACCTCTCAGATTCGGTCACCGAGCAGTCAGATTCCAATTGTCGATGGCACTGAAGTTACAGATGGAAATGTCCCTTTGGTGGTTGGTTCTGGAAAGGTTTGTTTAAGATTCTTATTTATAATTTCATCAGGTATAATTTATTATTCTATACGGTAAGTTTTTTTATTAATTAAAATTATTTATCACTTCGTTCAGTAGTATGAGTAAATATTCCAAAGGTAACTCCAGAAGTAAGATACTAAATTAAGTACTCTTTAACAGGATGGAGATGCAGGTAACTTGGAGGATGTAAAACCTGAATCATCTATAGAACCTGATAACATAACAGAGGATCAGGAACCCAATGACATATCAGAGGTTCCAAATTTCTCTGAAATTAATGAACCGTCGCAGTGCCAGTCCTTGAAGCTTCCTACTGAACTGAAAACAGACAAGGTACGATTTTAGATACAAAAGTTCTCATTGATTTTTTCAATATTTTAAAATCCATCTTTGCCATAAGTGAGCACTACAATCTTTGCAATTAAACCAAGAAGTGATATTCCAGTCTTTTAATGTCACTTTCTTCCTTTGACTTAGATATATCAACTAAATTCTGAATGTTTTTATTTATTTATAATTATTTATGAGACAGGCCCTCAATATGAAATATGCAGTTGTGCATATATTAGAAAAATGTACATGCTGATGAAAAACTTATGACTCCTTCGAAGTTCTAATGATGTAGGACAATTTAGTTTACAATTTAGTAATTTTATTATTTAGGTTTCTTACTTATTTTATTTTTATATTTTTATAGAAGTAGTTTAATTTTAGGTAATTTCTTATGTTTTTAGTTTTATTATTTTATTAGGTTTTCTTATTCCATTAGTTTCCTTGTAGGATTAGATTTTAGTTTCCTTCTAGTGTTAGGTTTTCTCTATTATAAATATTCATGTATTGCAAGAGCAACATTTTAACCTTTTTATCAATAATATTTCAGAATTCTTTATGAATTTATCTCTTATTTTGTGGATTCAAAACACCTACTTTGTGGATTTAAAGTAAACGTTCCTTGTGAACAAATGTATCACTTCCGCTTACGTCAGTTGGTATAAGAGCCTTGATAGAGCCTTGATTTATCCTGGGCTAATGACGATTGCTCATTTTGGTAGCACCCACTTTGTCGACGAAAATCGCAGAGTGAAGGCCCCTTGGGCAGCCATGTATATTCAAGATCGGTTCGTAGCAACTAGTTTTGGAATTGGTGGCAACCAGGTTCGTGGTTCAGTTCGAGTTTGCACTGATGATGTGTCTCGCAGCCAACCGAATTTGGGTTATGTTCATGTCTATCCATGTAGGCCTCCAGCCTATGTGAATTCTTTTGATGATGAGAAGTTCAGATTTAGAGAAGATGGGGTCGATCAAGGTGACAAAAATTGTAGACATTTAGACAATCGTAAGTTTCAGAAAAAACTTGATCTACTTACTTTTCATGGAAGTATTATTATTGAAGATGTCTTAGACTGGCTTGAAGAAGTTGAAGAAGTTGAAGAATTTTGAGATACCTTAAAATAAGCAAGTTCCGCTTGTTGCCCTTAAATTGAAAGGATGGGCTTCAGCTTGGTAGGAACAAATATGCGCTAACCAGAGGAGGCAAGGAAAACAGCCCATGCGGTCGTGGTACAAGATGAAACAGCTACTAATGGCTAATTTTTTACCACAAAATTATGAAGAGTTGATGTTTCAAAAATATCAAAGTTGTAGGAAAGAGAGACAGTTTGTCAACGAGTCAAACGATGATGGCATCAAGAATAGTAAAATTTTTGTTGAAGCAAGTAGTGATTCTCAACATATTGATTGTGAGAAAAAAAGTATTGCTTTACCTCTTGTAGTTGAAGATGAATTTGTTCATAATTTAATTGCAACAGATGCACTTGAGAATATTTCTGAAAATACAACTTCAGAGATCAATTTGGAGGAGTTATCTCATGGTTTGAAAGAATCAGATATGGAACAAAAGGAAGAGATGGAAGAGGAAGATGGCAGTGAGATGTCCAACAAAATCATGGACCCGAATTTGAAAGAGAAGGAAAATACGGAGTCCGAGCTGCTTCAACGCATGATTACACATGTTATGAGAGTTGGAATAGTTCATGATCAAGAGAATGACATCCAATTTCTCATAGATAAAGATTATGTGCCAGGTCAGCGTTTTCTCATGCATACGGTGCACAACCATGCCCATATCTTTGACAAGTTGCATATGTTTGGTGAAGCAGAAACCCATTACCTCCACTGTGGACATTGGGATGTACAAAGATTTATTACCTTAAGTGGAGTACAGGGGCTGAATGATCATCAGTTTAGTGGGTTCAGATTTGATGATGTCACCTTAATGATTAGCACACACCATGAATTGCAAGAGTTATCTACTGAAACCTACAATGGGTATTTTGAATATATAACTCATGGAAACGGTGCTGATGATCATCATAAAAGGTTGAAGGAAAAAGAAAATCAATGGGCAGAAAATTTGAAGCAAGTTTATAAAACATCAAGGGCAGGTTCTCAATGGTATATAATTTTATTCGTACTCTTATATGATCTGTAGCCACTCTCGGGGACAAGTTTTGTTTGAAGTGGAGGAGACTGATGTAGAACAATTTAGTTTACAATTTAGTAATTTTATTATTTAGGTTTCTTACTTATTTTATTTTTAATTTTTTATAGAAGTAGTTTAATTTTAGGTAATTTCTTATGTTTTTAGTTTTATTATTTTATTAGGTTTTCTCATTCCATTAGTTTCCTTGTAGGATTAGATTTTAGTCTCCTTCTAGTGTTAGGTTTTCTCTATTATAAATATTCATGTATTGGAAGAGCAACATTTTAACCTTTTATCAATAATATTTCAGAATTCTTTATGAATTTATCTCTTATTCTGTGGATTCAAAACACCTACTTTGTGGATTCAAAGTAAACTGTTCCTTGTGAACAAATTTATCGCTTCCGCTTACATCATCTAACAGTCCCATTGTCTAGATACTGGCTGATTACACATACTTTTGCAACCATAATGATAATGGTCATGTTGCTCTTTAGCAAACTGATACCATTGAGGACTACACTTAATGGAAAGTTAGCTTACATCACCTTCTTCAAGAATTTTGTAAGAGATATGGTTCCTTATGATTTGTGGTCACTTGAAGATTCTTATTGTGATGTAATCCATTTCTTTTGTTGAACCTCAGTGACTTAGAAAAACATAAAAGTGCAAAGAAGCTTATCTGTTCAATCATTCTGTTTAGGAAAGGAACAGTAAGGCTATTTAAGCTTTAAATTTTAAAAGAACAACTTTATAAGTGCATTTTTGTATGGGTTGTATAGTTGTACCCTTTATGGTTCCCAAGAAGACAGAGACATTAGAGAACTTTCTGTCTGATCAATGAGTATCATAGGGGTCATATAGTTAATAAAGTCACGTACGAGTCCACTACATTATGTGCCAATCCCTTTCCCTAGAGAGCAATACGATGAGATTATTTTTAGAGTCTAACAAATTTAGGTCAAGCTCTCTAATTTTACTTGAGGAGCATTTTTTTCCCCTACCATAATCTGTTGCATAAGTCATCAGATCAGAAAAAAGAAGATTGAGAGGAACAAGGGCATCAAATATTTGGAGATCAGATTCTCGTATTGGAGTCTGTTTCTATTGAGGCATAAGACAAAATCTAAACCATTCATAACTTCATTGCTTCAACTAATAGAGTGGTGGCCAAAAAAACTTCAGGAAAGACCTTGCCAGAATGAGTACTCCTTGGTGTACAAAGAAATTCAATCGAGAGATGAAGACACTGTGAGATAGGATTAATGTAGGGTTAGTATTCTTATGTATAATTAAGTGATATTGGTTAAGGTTCTTTAGGTATGTTAATAGCGGATGGCAAACAAGAGATGGTTTCTGGCACTACCTATGATAAAAAATTTCTGACCTAGAATCATGTAAGGGTTCTTAGATCCCTAACTGAATTAAGCTTTATCTAGTAAATTAGAAAATGAATCTTTTTTTTTTTATTTTTTTTTTTATTTTTTTATTTTGACCATGAAATGAGAGGGTGTTGAAATTGATAACCAGGATATACTTAGAATGTTGATCAATTAAGTTTTAGTACTACAACTAGGCATTAGAGGAGCGACTGGATCAAGTAACTTAAGTATAGACATGGTTCCATTGTGTCATCTGATAAATAAAACTATCTATACTTTACAAGGTAACATGTGAGGAAACCAAGAAAAGGCCTGTCCATGAAATAATTGTATTCCAGATTTGATGTTGAGATTGATGAGTGATACCAGATGGTCCACAAGTGTAGAGAAACTGCTGGAAGGATAATTCCAGAGTAAGATTTGAAAGGAGCTGAGTATATCTGGTAATAATATTTGTAAAATCTCATATGTGGATCTTGTAGACTGAAATGCAGAACAATTACCTATTACGTGGAAGTAGCTGGGAAATTAGATGAGGCTATGTTGCCTGATACATTTTATTCCTTTCCAAAAGTAAATTGGTAGTTGTACTTACAAGTGTATTTGGTCATAGCATTTAATCTAGATATGTTGGCTACAACTTATGATGAGATGATCGGTCAATGTCAATGAATTCTTTTGGCTGTCTACATCATCTACCCATTGCTATTTTATTGGTGTCGAGCAAACAGTCGAGTGTGATTTTGTTATGTCAAATTGATTTCTGTTCCCTCTTTTTATTTTTTTTATTTATTTGCTACTCCCATTCAGGATTATTGTAGTTGTTTTCTTCATATATAAAGTGCATCGTTCCTATTTTGAGCCAAGTGTTGCGTATCATCAAATCAAAGATTTTATTGTCAGAGGTCTTGACTTCAAGTCTCTCCCTTCGCGTTTGTTCTCCTACTTTTCTGTTTCTCTACACTCTGTTTTGTCTATCTACCTCTCTCTCCACATAAGAGGGAAGCTTGATAAACATTTTTTGGCACGTTACCTTGAAGTTTTAGATTTTCGAGGAGATGGTTGTTGGCGTATACTCTCTGCCTCCCATATTAGTTGTCCCTTTTTGGTATTATAACTTTTAAGAGGACATGCAATTAATGTATTGTCTCTCCTTTTAAAATTTCCAAGATGTCCTTTTATGTGTAGTATCAAGTTAGGAGATTTTTGAAAACTTAATGGGCAATAATTTATTTTGCTTTGACTTTTCAAATGGGACAACTAATTTTGGACTTCCCAAAAAGAAGAGGGACTATTAACATGGGACAGGAGTATTTTTACATTTGTGCACAAAGACGGTGCAAGAAACAAAAATTACATAAGCCAGGTAAATTTTATTAAAAAAAAAATTATTCTCACAGAATTCTTATCAAGCCATCTAGAATTAATCAAGTTCCTTAAATCATTTGCGGGTCCAATATATAATAGATAACAGGAACTTGAAAAACATACCTTAAATTGGAACCTTTGTGGAGTGGTGAGGCACATGAATTCTGCATACAAGAAGCATGCAGTATTGTTTTTTGTGCTTACAAAATCGGGTCATTACTATACATTGATGTTAAGTAATTTTATGTCAGCCTTGCCAGGTTTAGTTGTTGAATCTCATGAAGTTCTGTTTGTATGTATAATCCACCAGTCCTTACAACCCGCATTAAAATGATTAATACCACATAATGGTCCTTTCTTGGACTTACCATTTGACGATAGTTATAAAATATTTTGTTTCTATTGAATTTACTTGAAATTGCATTAGGATGAGATAAATTGAACTTTTGTTAAACCGTTCAGGCCCTCAATAGCTACAAAAAAAACTGATTTTCTGATTGGCTTCTTACTTGATGACAGCAGATTGCGAAGTTGATCTACACTAATGCAGGTAATGCAATTTTGGCATTAGCAGCAAATGGCATTCATCTACTGTGGAAATGGTCGCAAAATGAACCTAATTTGATTGGCAAGGTAAGAGAAGTTAGACATTCTTAATAGTGTCCTCCAATTTGACACCCAATCTCTGACAATTCGAACATTTATTGGCCTTCTCATTGTGTAAAATGTTTATTGGTTCAGGCGACAACAAAGGTTCCCCCTCAAATATGTCAACCGAAGAGTGGATTACCAATGATCAATGATTTCACTAGCATTAACCTTGAAGAGGTCTGGCCTTGTTTTGCTTTGTCCAAAAACGATTCTTATCTCGTGTCAGCATCAGGGGGGAGGATTTCTCTCTTCAATACCATGACATTTAAGGTAAAGTAAAATTAAATATTATATTTGTTTGGGGGCATTGTAGCAAATTTATTAAATCGAAAAAGTTTTGAGTAGTCATTTCACAAATGTCATCAACAAGATATAATCATGTACAATCAATAATTTGTGAATTTATTAATTTTTTACAGTTCCAATTTGGTCATGGAAACAGAAAAGAAAAAAATAAAAAATAAAAAGATCTGAATCATTGTAAACAATTTTAATTCCTTACACAACAGTTTTTATTCACCCTCTCACCTGAATTGATCTTCCCGCAGTCAACTTCATCCTAAATTTTCAAACTATTCCTGAATTATCATCGACTGGCTTCTGGAATTTCTACAAAAATTCTTCTGATTAATATTTTAGATCTGATTTATCTTATATTGCATATAAGTCCAAATGTTGATTTTATCTTCTTGTTGGGTGTTGTTTTCTATGAAGTCAAGATCCAACTGATCATTCTTAAATTATGTTGGACAAATGCAGAGATTGACAACTTTCATGCCTCCACAACCTGCAGCAACATGTATTGCTTTCTATCCCCAAGATAACAATATAGTTGCGATTGGCATGGATGATTCAACAATCCTAATTTATAACATTCGTGTAAATGAGGTATGGTATTTGATTCTCTTACACCAATATACTTTAACTGATAGCACAAGAAAACTTTGGTCGAGTTAGTTGTTATTGTTTTTGTTTATACAGGTTGTAAGTAAGCTTAAGGGTCACTATACAAGAGTAACTGGCCTTGCCTTCTCTAATGTACTGAATGTACTTGTCTCTTCTGGATATGATGCTCAGGTTAGTATGTTATATTTCATTCATTCTTAAGAAGAAACTACTTTTTATGGTTAGAGTCGTATTTTTCCTAGTTATGGTTAGGGTCATATTGTTGTAGAAGGAATTCTCTTTTTGTATGTTGGGCTCATCGGGCATGTGTCAAGTTTCCCTTAACAAGGGATGAGAAATTTTATTTTTTTACCTAATCAGATTTATCTGGTGTCTGTCTGGTCTTCAATGCATGATTTGGTGTAGAGTGAGAAGACAGGAGAAATGGGATTTGTACTGTGAGGCCCTTTTAGTATGCTTCTCGTGCTCTGACTAAAACAAAGTGCAGAATGCAGATTACAATATTCAGCATATGTGTTTCCAAATTCAGTCTCACGAGCACTTCCCTCGTGGACTTTACTTGATTTGATCCACCTTTTTTTTCCTCCAGATTATTGTGTGGGATTCCAATCGGTGGGAAAAGAAGAAAAGCAGACAGTTGTATGATTGGCTGATGTTAAGACCATCAAATACCCATGTCCAATTCCACCAGGATCAGATGCACTTCCTCGCTGTGCATGAGAATCATATTGCAATATATGAAGCAACAAAACTAGTACTTGTGAATCAGGTTTCGTCTTTGGCTCTTTCTTTCCGTCAGTTTCAACTTTGCATAGTAATATGCCAATGTCTTTACTTTTATACTTTCAGTGGGTCAATGGATTCTACTGTGCACGGATATCCCATGCGACATTCTCATGTGATTGCCAGTTAGTATGTGCCGGATTTCTGGATGGAACTGTGTTGATATTTAATGCTTCAAATCTCCATCTACGATCCCAGATTAATCCTGGTGCTTACCTTCCATCTGACCTCAGGTATTTTTTGAAGTCCACTTGTATTTAAATTAATAAGGCAGCCCATGTACATTGAGAAAACCTTCACAACTGCACAGGCCCTTTATATGGTTTATGTTATCATTGGCATCTCTCTCTCTCTCATGCGCGCGCGCACATTCATTTTTTGAGCAAAATTGACATTTTTTTATGCATATGAAACAAATTATACGAGAACCTATTTCACGAGTATAATTACTCTATTTTGATATGCAATTTAATAACTCACGAATTATCTGCATATGTTGCAAGTGTTGCTGATAATTATTTTTCTTTCGACTCTTAAATGATATCTTATTCTCAGCCTGAATGATGCTTCTTGATTCTGTTACACATCGATGTTTGTGTTTGCAACTTGGATCAACAATGATGTTGTTGTGAATTTGGACAGCCACATTTGAGATTCCTTATATAAGCTCCAACTATTTACATCTAACTCAATACTTCTGTTGTTGACTGCAGTTCCAACGTATATCCGTCTGTAATTGCTGCTCATCCGCATGAGCCAAACCAGTTTGCCTTTGGGCTAACAAATGGTGAGGTCGTCGTCGTTGAGCCTCTAGAATCTGAAGGTAAATGGGGTTTGCTGCAACCAGTTGACGATGAATCATATATTGAGAAAGCCGACGACATTCCTGCTAGCTATCCTTAGAAAAGATTGAACAATAAGATGGCTTCAATCCTTATTTTTGGTTTACTATTGAGTAAAATTGTAGTGGCATGAACCTCATAAATTAGGGTTTTTGTACATAATACATATAATATAATTTTGTCCCTATTTCATGGAGCCTTACTTTCTCTTTGTTTGTTTCCAAAAACCATACTTTTCAGCCATTCAAGTTCATGTTCTTTGTTACAAAGTCTTGTTCTGTTTTTTCACAAGGCATGATTAGCACGAACAGTGCCATTTTTGGTGATCAATATTGGACAATAATTGAAGTCACTGGATCTCCAGCATTACCAACGTGTTCATGCATGACATTGAAGCTTTCCCATAAAATTCCGAGCTTTATCGATCCGTGTAAAAAGGCCGTTTTGTACAATGTCACGGGAATTAGTTGGAACAAAATCCAAATACCCGGCTCCCAAAATATATGTGTGTGTATATATATATATATGTATTGAAGGTGGTCATGGCTTTCTATCTATGGAGTGTGAACAGGTGGTTGGACTTGATATACCTCAAGTTTCAAGAATGATGGACTGAAATCAATGGAGAGAAGCCATGATTAGCTAGCACGTGAAGTGCCATTTTTAATGGGACATGCTTTCTTGACTGGTTCATTGTCCCTTCACCAAAAATGACAGTGTTCACGTGCTAATCATGTGACTTATTGTCCATTTTCATTTTTGGTGAATGGACAATGAAGTCACCCAATCTCTGAGAGCAACCCAGCGTAAGGCAGTAGTGTACAATATCTCAACCTGTGTTCAATGAAAGGCTTTACCATGCACATCACACACAAGTGGACCCCATGTAATATTACACACTCCACAGGTGACATGCACATTACACACAAGTGGACCCCATGTAATATTACACACTCCACAGGTGAAGAATGAAGTAGCGCCTTGTGCACTGGGCCATTGTTTGTGATAATGATATAAAATGGAAAAGTGATATTGTGTGATGATGTGTAAAATAATTATTGAATGTGTATTGAATTAATTAATTAATGTAAAGGTAGTCAAATTTTAATTAATTAAGAGTCATTTAATTTGCATAAGAATTTAATTAATTATTTTTTTAAAAAAAAGTTTGTACTTTTTGACTTATCAATTTAAGAAATGAAGATGGTGGAGATTGAGCGGGAGCAAGTTCTTTGGGAAAGACAAGTGATGGAAAAAAAATTCAAATGATACTGCAACATTGGCGATGAAAGCATGGATCGAGGATCGACAAAATGAAATTATAGCGCGTTATGCAAAAAGGGGCAATTAATTATGATGTTTACTAAATATAATTGTGATGTTTACTAAATATTTTTTTTTCATATGTGGAAGTATTAATGGATTTATTTTTTCTGAGTTGTATTGTTTTATTTTATTTGTAGGAAGCCATATAATGCACTCTTTTTATATATATATATTTGTAATATTATTGTTTATATATATATATATGTAACGATCCTCACCCTAGCCAGACACAATATTGTCCGCTTTTGGCTCACCCAGACCAGAGACTTTCCAGGAATTCACCCATCCTGGTACTACTAGAGTCACTCATCCTGGTACTACTCCAAGTTAAGCACGCTTAACTACAGAGTTCTAATGGGTTCACGACCATCACGGCTTTAAAACGCGTGTTTATATATATATATATGTAACGATCCTCACCCTGACCAGACACAATATTGTCCGCTTTTGGCTCACCCAGACCAGAGACTTTCCAGTGGGTCACCCATCCTGGTACTACTCCAAGTTAAGCACGCTTAACTACAGAGTTCTGATGGGTTCACGGCCATCACGGCTTTAAAACGCGTTGTGTCATAGAAGGGTGTTGAATCTACATATAACACTTGCCCCATCCACACCCAGACGTTGTGGGATTGTGCACCTGTAGCTCACCCAGTGTGGTAGCCTACTGGTGCCCCCTGCACACGCTCACACACACCCGCCCACAAGGTCGCCACAATCACCCCCCCTTTGGGGCCCAACGTCCTCGTTGGCCACACTTCCGGCTGGGTCAGGCTCTGATACCATTTGTAACGATCCTCACCCTGGCCAGACACAATATTGTTCGCTTTTGGCTCACCCAGACCAGAGACTTTCCAGGGGGTCACCCATCCTGGTACTACTCCAAGTTAAGCACGCTTAACTACAGAGTTCTGATGGGTTCACGGCCATCACGGCTTTAAAACGCGTTGTGTCATAGAAGGGTGTTGAATCTACATATAACACTTGCCCCATCCACACCCAGACGTTGTGGGATTGTGCACCTGTAGCTCGCCCAGTGTGGTAGCCTACTGGTGGCCCCTGCACACGCTCACACACACCCGCCCACAAGGTCGCCACAATATATATATATATATTAAATCTTGTATCTAAATATATAATCAAAGCAAACAATTATAGCCGTTAGTATTATAGTTGTTGAGAATAAAACCATTGGAAAATAATAAAAAAACAATAAAAAAAATTATTTTATTTTTTAAAAAATAATAATATAATAAAGTGTAGAATGAAAAATGGATGCACAACAAGAACTTGGAGTCTCCAAAATAAGTGTACAACCAATTACTGATGTGACTGTACACTTTACATAAAGTTGTTGATGTGATTGTACACTTTACATAAAGTTTAGAATAGAAAAAGTGCCTTGCGCTGGTGTTGCTCTAAGCATTTCAAACATATTCATACATGAAATTGACATTGAAGGTGGTTATAGAATAGGTGATTGGAGTTGAAAATTTTATATCTTTTAAGTCACATAATTCTTTTAATGGGTGATGTCTTACATTTTGCTTACGTTTTTACCATCACTCTCATTTTATGTAAGTTAGATTTTATCGCTTTCGCTCCTCTTTTCACTCTGTGTGACACATGATATGCTTCAAGTTTATTTAGTTTTACAAGCTATCCAACTATCTCTTCAATACACATTACATGCATATATACATGTCCGTGGGATAAACTAAGGCGTGAATTTTGAATACTAATTTTGGTAATAGTAGCACCAGTACGAAAATTCAATGTTAGTATAGTCATGATAAGGAAATTTTGCACCCAACATAAAGAAATACAGCTGGAGAGGCTAAAATGAAAATGCAAAAGCATCTCTACAATTTTTATTCCTTTCCTTTTTTAGAATACTTAAAAGCTGAGCAAATGAAATACACAGAAAAGTAAGTATTCATGTCTTCAACTTCTCAAGTGAGGACAATTTGTCAAATTTAAACTTGTTTCCAAATAGAAAGAGACACCTCCTATTTTTTAAAATTTAGCAAACTCTCAATAATAAAATTTCACCCAACATATTATACACTTAGTTCTTTTAAGAGAGTGAAGCTTTGTCCAACTTCAATCTCTTCTAACAGTTACAATTTTTGAAGACGATGAATAACATACACACGCGTCATAAAAGTGTTGTTCTTCTTTAAAGATTTTCAACTTCCGTAATTTCATTTGAAATCAAGCTTCATCGATACTCGGTTGAAAATTAATCCAAATCTTCTTCATCTAATTGCTGTGACTAACATTGTTAAAAAGAGAGATTTGTGTTACAAGGTTTACTTTTTAAGAGAGACCATAGTAATTTTTAAAGCCATAAAGAAAATTCGTGTAATTATGAAAAACCTCTGGTGAGGTCCACGTAATTCACCGAAAAAAATATGCTATATTTACAATAATTTATCACATAAGTACGAGTGCTTATCGCCTAGGTGGACATGTCCCCTATAAAATACTGCCGTTTTGGAAGAAGAATTTTGGACAGTGTTGAGGAACTAAGAGAGAGAAAGGATAGATACTACGAAGTAGAGAGAGAGAGAGAGAGCGCTTTCGATCAATTTGCAGTCACTTCTATGTAATTCATCTTTCCCTTCATCAATCTCTTTCTTTTCAATAATTCAACTGATCTTTTCAATCGTGTTTTGTATGTTTCCTCTATATTTTGATCATTTTCTTCTACTCTCTCGTTGATTTCATCGGCAAAGAAAGCGACGGAAAATTGTTCAACTGGATTCTATCACTTCTGCAACAATCCCTATCTAGATTTTCCATTTCTTTTGATGATCAAATTATAAGGTTTAGTTTTCTTATCAGTATCAGTATTCTGATGATCAAATTATAAAGGTCTAGTTTTGTTTTATTTATTTATATATATGCTCTTTATTTCGCTTGTGCAATTAATCAATTGTAACCGTTTAAATTTTGATTATGGACTGATCAATTGTTGATCGAAATTGCAATTATCCGATTCTGATATGATCCATGCGTTTCTGTTGGGAACTGTGTGTTGTTATTCAATCTCTTTTCATATATCAGGTGTGATATATATATATATATATATATACACACACACACACACACACACATACATACATTAGTCAATTCTCTTAATATAATCAAAATGAATTGTGTGTGTTTATTATATAAGTAGTTGCGTAGATGCTCATTTCAGTTTAGTTGGTTTTAGTTAAATTTTAAGTGTTTTTGTGCTAATTGCTAGATTAAAACACTTTATTCTTGGTTTGATTCTGGTCAATGTTTGATGAAATCCTAATTTCAGCTTTTTTAACCATTCAATGTGTGTTTATGTGAGTTTGGTCAATTATTGATTTCTTATAATTTGAAGGTCTTGAAGTCAAGAAAGGGGATATCTGGTGTTGGGCAATGTCTCTCAGTAAAGACCTTCTCTTCTTGATCTTACAGTTTTGTAATGAGGAAGATCTCAAAAGAACTGCTCACATGTAAGTTTTCCTTTCTATATCTTTCTCATTCGAACTTCCAAAATAACAAATTTGCTCATTTTTGTAATTGTTTCTGTTATCATTTGTCGAATAGGCTTGAGCAGGAAACAGGTTTATTCTTTGACATGAAGTATTTCAAGGATCTTGTGCTTAGTGGCAATTGGGATGAAGCTGAGAGATACCTTTCGGGTTTCATCAAACTCGAAGATGACAAGTATTCGAAAAAAATCTATTTTGAAATTCGGAAACAAAAGTTCCTTGAGGCACTGGATGAGTAAGCTTCTGATTTTCTAATATTTCATAGTGTCATGTTGATGCAAGTTTTTATTTTTTTCAACATTGTAATTAAGTAGTATTGGTTGATAGACATGATTGTGCAAGGGCTTTAGATATCCTTATGAAAGATCTAAAAGTTTTTGCCCCATCAAACGAAGAGCTGTACAAGGAAATGACAATGCTCCTGACTTTAGATGATTTCAGGTATAATTTTTTTTTTTATAATTATTCATGATTTCAGGTGTGAATGTCCCATTAATCTTGCAATATCAAACATGGCAAGAGTAATATACTCTGATATGGGCTAAATCAAATTCATCTGGAATTGACAGAAAACACGAGTCATTCACCTTGTTTGGCGATACATTGTCTGCTAGAAAACACATGATGAATGAACTTCAAAATATTATCGAGGAAAATCCCATTTTCCATGAAAAACTGAAGTTTCCTCACATCAATATGTCAAGGTTGAGGCGCCTTGTTAACCAAAGGTTTTTTCTCTTTCTATATATGTGTGTGTACGCTTTTGATGTTATCTTTTATTCAGTTGAATTGGTTAACTATGTTGTAACACTGCGATTACTTGGTTCAATCTATTTATTACTGATGTTGATTCTTAGGTACTAAGTCAGATACTCTTCATAATCTCAAGCTAAACTTATTGGACGTCAAGCGTGAACTGATTTTACTTTACTAACTGGCAGCTTAAATTGGCAGCATATTCTTTGCTCACATCCACAGGAAAATCCCGATATAAAGACCCTCTTTACAGATCATCAATGTCCGCTGCCCAATCATCCATTTGGTGAATCAATTGAGATCAATCCGTTGGTAGAATCCTAACTGAAAACTGTTGTCTTTCATTCTCTTTTACATCGTCCCCTTGCAAAAGAAACCAGCTGAGTTTGATATGTTATTTATTTTAGTATGTCTGTATACATTTTATTTAGAATGTTTGAATTTTGTGTTCAGCCTTCTAGAGCCACGTCAGTGTCAGTCTCACCTTTCTCTAGCAAGGAGGCTTCTGATCTATCTACTGTAACGCAATCTATAGTTTCTGAGGAGGCTCTTGACCTTAGTGCTCAAACCAACCCAGGTATTGGTTATAATTCTTTTATAGTGCTTCTGATTGAGCTCATTTATTTCATTGATTCTTTGCATGACAAATGCATGTTGGTAGATGCAACTGTGAAAGGGTTCATGGATTTTGATAATACATCCAAAACAAGGTCCACTGGAACTTTGGATAAGGTGAATGGATCAACATTTATTGCAGTAGTGCACAACACTACTCTTGATTTATTATTTATTTACTCTTTTTACATGCTCATATTATTGATATAAAATATCATTTCTTCTTTGTAATTGTGTCCTTACTTTCATGCAGGTGGCATCATCCATAACTTTGTCCATCCAAAGTGACAGTTCTGTATTCAACATCCCTGATGATTTGCCCAAGACTGTTGGACGCATTTTGAATGAGGAATCTTCTCCGACAAGCATGGATTTTCACCCTGTTCAGCATACGTTTCTTCTAGGTTTGTGCTTATATGAACCTATATAGTCATGTATAATAGGTTATCTTCTGCTGTAACAGTCTGTATTCTGAGCTTGAATCAACTCATGAACACTGCGAATGTAATTCTTCAGTTGGAACCAGTGTTGGGGATGTAGGGTTGTGGGAAGTTGCTTCTGGGGAGAAACTGTTTTCAAGTAAATTTAGTGTTTGGAAGATCAAAACTATTTCAATGGCATTCTTGGTATTTCCCCTTCCTAACTAAGTTATTTCCTCTAGTTCAGCTCACTTTAATGTCATCTGATCTGATATTTGAGTGACCAAACTATATTCAGGCGACTCTGCTCAAAGATCCACGTGTCTCGGTTAATCGTATAATATGGAGCCCTGATGGTTTGCTATTCGGTGAGATTGATATATTAGAACCCAAATGGTTTTGATAGGCACTGATTTAAATCTTTTTGTTGTTCTGAACCCTACTATGAATTCTTTTTGTTTAAACAGGGGTTGCATATTCAAAACATATTGTGCAATTATATTCTTATCATGGTGGCTGTAACATCCGGAAACAATTGGAGGTAGATTTCTAATAGAGTGACAGTTCTCTTTCTTCCTAAAATTTCGTGGTTCCTGGTTTGCTACTTTGCTTCACATACTGAATTTTCATGTCTAGATTGATGCACATGCTGGAGGTGTAAATGATCTTGCATTCTCCAAACCAAAAGAGCAACTTCTTGTTGTAACCTGTGGTGATGACAAGTTGATACAGGTTGGTTTACAAGTTATAAAGTAGTTATTTTTATGTCACTGTGAAGTTAACAGTTCACTGACTACTACTGGCATAAGGTGTGGGATGTAATTACTGGTGCCAAACAATATTCTTTTGAAGGTCATGGGGCCCCGGTTTACTCCATTTGTCCTCGGACAATGGGAATTATCCATGTAAGGACCTCAACTGATATGTTAGCTGCTTTCTCTAATTTGGTGTATTTTAAGTATTTATCCTAGTTTGGTAATGCATTATGCCTTGTGCCTCAGTTTCTGTTTTCAACATCACTGAATGGAGAGATTAAAGCATGGTTCTATGATGATATGGGAGCAAGGGTAGAGTATGATGCTCCTAGACACTGTTGCACAAGAATGGCGTATAGTTCTGATGGTTATAGGTGATTTACTGGACCTACAATAGCAATTTTGATGTTTTCACATGCCAAACTGAAATGTCATTGTTAATCATTGAACCCTTGTTAGGCTCTTTTCATGTGGGACCACTAAAAGCGGAGAGTCAGTCTTCGTTGAGTGGGATGAACGTGAAGGTTGTGTGAAGAGGACCTACCAAGGGCTTTGCAATTGTTCATCAGAAGTTGTACAGTTTGATACATGCAAGAACCAGTTTTTGGCTGCTGGTGATGACCATTTAATCAAATTTTGGGATATAGACCACGAAGAACTTCTGACAACTATTGATGCAGAAGGAGACCTTCCTGTTTGTTCATTAACCCGCATTTTCAGTTTTTCATTTTAACTATGTTTTCCTTTTCAAAAATAGTACTTTTAATTAAGGCAACTCCATATAAGAATTGTAGTTTAATTTGCTTATCTACTTCTTTTCTGATTTTAAGGCAACTCCATTTATTTGCTTCAATAAGAAAGGCACATTATTGGCTGTTCTAACAAATCATAATGGAATCAAGATCTTGGCAAATGATAATGGCCTTCGGTTGTTGCAAATTTCTGGATATCATTCCGATGATGTCTCAAGAGTTCTCTCAGAAACTTTAAGAAAGGTCAGTAAGCTAATCCGCCCCATATTTCTTCACAAAGGATATATTTGCTACTAATGTTTGTTTCCCCATTCAGCTTGCAATCAATCCAACTCCAACCGTCACTAGCCCTGGAGTTACAGATGGAAATGTCCCTTGGGTGGGTAGTCCTGGAAAGGTTTGTTTAGTTTAAGATTCATGTTGATTTCTTCATCTGGCATAATTTATTATTCTAGACAGTAGGGTTTTTGATTAATTAAAATCATTTATCTCTTCATTCAATAATATCGGTAAATATTCTAAAGATAACTCCAAAGGACCAGAAGTAAGATACTAAATTAAATTATTTTTGACAGGATGGAGATGCAGGTAACTTGGAGAAACCCGATGACGTATCAGAGGAAGCGGATGACATATCAGAGGAATCGGATGACGTGTCAGAGGAGGAATCCGAATCAGATGACGTGTCAGAGGAGGAATCCGAATCGGATGATGTGTCAGAGGAGGAATCCGAATCGGATGACGTATCAGAGGAGGAATCTGACGACGCATCAGAGGCAGAACCCGATGGCGTATCAGAGGTTCCAAATTTCTCTGAAATTAATGTACCCTCACAGTGCCAGTCCCTGAATCTCCCTTCTGAACTGAAAACAGACAAGGTACGATTTTAGTTACAAAAGTTCTCATTGATATTTTCAATATTTTACTATCCATCTTTGGCATAAATGGGCACTACAATCTTTGCAATTAAGCAAAGAAGTGACATTCTAGTCTTTTTAATGTCATTTTCTTCCTTTGACTTAGATATATCAACTAAACTTTGAATGTCTTTTAAAAAATATAGAAAAATGTATAGTTGTGCATATATTAGAAAAATGTACATGCTGATGAAATCTTATGACTCCTTTTAAGTTCTAACAGTCTAATTGTCTAGATACTGGCTGATTACATACACTTTTAAAACCATAATGACAATGGTCATGTTGCCCTTTAGCAAACTGATGCCATTGTACACTTAATAGAAAGTTATCTTACATCACCTTCTCCAAAAATTTTGTAACTTATATAGTTCCTTATGATTTTTGTTGACTTGAAGATTCATATTCTGAAGTAATCCATTTCTTTTGTTGAACTTCTCCGTGACTTGTTATAAAAACATAAAATTGCAGAGAAGCTAACCAGCTCAATCATTCTGTTAAGAAATAACATTATTATCAATGTATTTCATTCGGTGCATGCTTTGTATGGTTGTACCCTATATGATTCCCAAGAAGACAGGGACATTACAGAAAATGGAAAGAACTTTTCTGTCCGATTAATGAGTATGTCAAATGGGTCATTTCGTCAATAGAGTCATGCACGAGTCCACTACATTATGTGCCAATCCCTTTCCCTTGAGAGCAATATAATGAGATAATGGTTTAGATGCTAATAAAATTTAGGTTTAAATTCTCTAATTTTACTAGGCGAGCAACGTTTTCCACAACCATATTGGTCCCCTACCAGATTCTGCTTGAAAGACCATAAAGCAAGAGTGCATGCATAAGTCATCAGATCAGAGGTTTGAAGATTGAGAGGAACAAGGACATCAATTATTTGGAGATCAGATTCTCAGATTGGAGTCTGCTTCTAGTGAAGCATAAAACTAAAAATCTAAACCATTTATAACTTCATTGCTTCAATTAATATAGTGTTGGCCAAAAATTCAGGAAAGACCTTGCCAGTAAGAGCTTTCCTTGGTGTATAAAGAATCAGTAATTGATGTGATGGCATTCAATAAAGAGATTGAGAATCTATGATTGCAATAGGATTAATGTATATGTATAATTAAGTGATCTCTAGGCTAAGGTTCTTTGGGTATGTTAATAGCAGATGGCAAACATGAGATGGTTTCTGGCACTACATATGATAATTGTAAATGTAGAATCATGAAAGCATTATTGGATCCCTAAATGGATTAAGCTATATCTAGTAAATTAGAAAATGGAAAAAATAAAAAATAAAAAAATCTTTTTTTTTTAATATTATGACCTTGAAACGAAGGGGGTGTTCAAATTGATAACTAGGATATACTTAGAATGTAGATGATGAAGTTTCAGTACTACAACTGGGCATCCTAGGAGGAGAGATAGGATCAAGTGACTTAAGTATAAACATGGTTCCATGTGTCATCTAATCAACGTTTTTTTAGTAAAGGAAATTTAGTTGATAAAACAGCAAACAAAACAAGCTATACCTTACAAGATAAATTGTAAGGATACCAAGAAATGGCATGCCCATGAATTAATTGTATCCCGGATGTTATGTTGAGATTGATGAGTCTTACCAATTGAGATGGTACACATGCATAGAGAAACCAGTAATGGTGCCAGACAGCCCAGGCATTCCGACCAAAAAAAAATGAGTTGGTTAATTGAAACTGACTGAAGGAAAAGTGTTTCCTAACATCATATCAAAGCTTTTGTTCTCAGAGATCTTGACTTCAAGTCTCTCCTTCGCCCTTCAAGTTTGTTCTCCTACCTTTATCTGTTAGTCTATGCTCTGTTTTGTCCATCTACCTATCTCTCCACCACATATGAGGGACGTTTGATATACATTTGTTGGCACATTCCCTAATAGTTTAAGATATTAGAGGATGTGGTTGTTAGCACATATTATTACATTTGTTCGCAAAGATGGTCCAAGAACAAAAGTTACATAAGCCAAGTAAATTTAATTAACAAAATTTATACTCACAGAAGTCCCATCAAGACATCTAGACTCAATCATTTGCAGGTCCAATAAGCATAAAAAGATAAAAAGGAGCTTCAATACATACTTTAAATTTGAGCCTTTTTTTGGTGGTTAGGCATACGAGTTCTGCATAAAAAAAAAGTATGCAGGATTCCTTTTTGTGCTTGCAAAATCCGTCATTACAATAATAATTGATGTTAAGTAATTTTATGTTAGGTTTAGTTGTTGAATCTCATGATTTCTAACACAATAACACATACATAATGAAGAGCTGCAGTCTTCATGGTCACGTTTTCCAAAAAAAAAATTCAAGAAAGAAAATAAGGAGGATATCTTAAATGTTTTTCATAATCTATACAACTGCCCTTAGGTCACCCAACCCCAACTTATCATGGGACTTCTAACAATAAAGAGTGAAGTTACAAAATGTAGAAAATTCTGGATATAACTGAACTCATAGATACAAATTCACGCCATTGATTGATGTATGTTTGGCTTAGGCTATAACATCTGTATCCTTTTCATCCTAAAATCTTCAATTATATGTCTACTTTAATTTGTAGCACCTACCATTTGGAAAGGAGTCGTTGCTTGGGTGCAGTTGTATAAGCTCATCTGTTAAGTGTGAGAATCTGGGTTTGAATATGAAGACAATCACTCTATGTAAACAACATCAGAAGTTATGTTTGTATATAATCCAGCAATCCTAGAAACCCGCGTTAACATGATTAAAACCACATAATGGTCCTTTAATGGACTTACCATTTTAAAATAATTATAAAATATTTTCTCTCTTTAAATTTACTTGAAATTGCATTAAGAGGACATAAATTGAACTTTTGTCAACCTCTAGGTGTTCAGGCCCTGAATAGCTACAAAACAACTGATTTTCTGATTGACTTCTCAATTGATGACAGCAGATTTCGAAGCTGGTCTATACTAATGCAGGTAATGCCATTTTGGCATTATCAGGAAATGGCATTCATCTAATGTGGAAATGGTCACAACATCAACCTAATGTGAGTGGCAAGGTAAGAGAAGTTAGACATTCTTAATGGTGTCCTCCAATATGATATTCGGACGTCTATTTGGTCTTCTCATTGTGTAAGATGTTTATTGGTTCAGGTGACCACAAAGGTTCCCCCTCAAATATGGAAACCGGAGAGTGGATTACTGATGACAAATGATTTCACTGGCATTAACTTTGAAGAGGTCTGGCCTTGTTTTGCTTTGTCCAAAAATGATTATTATGTCGTGTCAGCATCAGGGGGGAGGATTTCTCTCTTCGATACCATGACATTTAAGGTAAAGTAAATATTATATTGTTTGGGTGCATTGTAGCAAATTTCTCAAAATCCAAAAAGTGCATTTTATAATTGTCATTAACCTGATCTAATCATGTATAATCAACAATTTGTGAATTTATTAATTTTGTACAGTTTCAATTTGGTCATGGAAACAGAACAGAAATAAAAAGAAAAAGAAAAAGAATCGAATCGAATAGATCATTGTAAACAACTTTAATTCCTTATGACTGTTTTTCTTCACCCTCTTGCCTGAATTGTTCTTACCACATTCAATTTCATACTAAATTTTCAAACAATCCCTGAAATTATAATCGACTGGCTCTGGAATTTCGATCAAAATTCTTCTGATTAATATTTCAAATCTGATTTATATATATTCCAAACAAGTCCAAACCTTGATTTTTACCTCATTGTTGGCTGTTGTTTTCTATGAAGTCAAGATCCAACTAATCATTCTTAAATTATGTTGGACAAATGCAGATGCAGCAGATCATGACAACTTTCAAGCCTCCACCGCCTGCTGCAACATGTATTGTTTTCTATCCCCAAGATAACAATATAATTGCAATTGGCATGGATGATTCAACAATCATGATTTATAACATTCGTGTAAATGTGGTATGATATATGATTCTCTTACACCTATACTTTAACTGATAGCACAAAGAAAACTTCGGGAAGTTAAGTCTTTATTGTCCTTTTTATGCAGGTTATAAGAAAGCTCAAGGGTCACTATAAAAGAGTAACCAGCCTTGCCTTCTCTAATGTACTGAAAGTGCTCGTCTCTTCTGGATTTGATTCTCAGGTTAGTATGTTATATTTCATGCATTCTAAGAAGAAGAAACTACTTTTTACAGTTAGGGTTATTTTGTTCTTCAGAAGCAGGAATTCTCTTTTTGCATGTTGGGTCTCTCAGCATGTGTCAAGTCTCACTTCACAAGGGATGAGAAATTTTGTTTTTACCTAATCAGATTTATCTGGTGTCTGTCTGGTCTTGAGTGCATGATTCGGTGTAGAATGAGAAGACAGGAAAAATTGGATTTGTACTGAGGCCCTTTTAGTATTGCTACTCGTGCTCTGACTAAAAGGAAGTGCAGAATGCAGATGACAAATTTTTTTTTTTCATTGGCAAGAAACACACGCACCCACTTTTTTTGCCCCTGCGGGGACTTGAACCCTTGACCTTCTACTTTGGAAGGTGACGAAGCACCACCACTAGGCTACAAGGCCATTGGTCGGATGACAATATTTAATTAGCACATCTGTTTCCAAATGCAGCCCTTATGAGCACTTCCCTCATAATGTGGACTTTACTTCATTTGTTCCACATTTTTCTTTCTCCAGATTATTGTGTGGGATTTTAGTCGTGGGGAAAAGAAGAAAAGTGCACGGTTGTATGATTGGTTGATATTAAGACCATCAAATACCCATGTCCAATTCCACCAGGATCAGATGCACTTCCTCGCTGTGCATGAGAATGTTATTGCAATATATGAAGCAACAGAACTAGAACTTGTGAAGCAGGTTTCCTCTCTCTCTCTTCTTGTCAGTTTGCAACTTTGCATAGTAATATGCCAATGTCTTTACTTTTATACTTTTAGTGGGTCAATGGAGCCTTCCGTGCGCGGATCTCCCATGCCACATTCTCATGCAATTGCCAGTTAGTATGTGCCGGATTTCTGGATGGAACTGTGTTAATATTTGGTGCTTCAAATCTCGATCTACGAGCCCAGATTAATCCTGGTGCTTACCTTCCATCTCACGTCAGGTATTTCTTGAAGTCCACTTGTATTATAATTAACAAGGCAGCTCATGTCCATTGAGAAAACCTTGACATGCACAGGCCTTTATATGTTTTATGTTATCAGTGGCATCTCTCTCTCTCTCATTCATTTTTTAATTGACAAATTACCCAAGAACCTATTTCACGATTAGAATTACTCTATTTTTTATATGCCATAACTCATGAGTTATCTGCAAATGTTGCTAGTGTTGCTCGTCCCGTGATTTTTTCCACTCAAAATTTACTGAAGTTTTTTGATCTAGATTGAGTTGATGACACCTTTCGAAAAAACAGAAGAAGATTGAATTGCTGATAATTATTTTTGTTTCAGACTCTTTGATGATATGTTATTCCTGAATTCCAACTTATTCTCAGCCTGAATGATGCTTTTGGATTGTATATAGGCTCCAACTTATTAACATCTAACTCAATACTTTTGTTGTTGACAGTAGTTCCGACGTATATCCGTCTGTCATTGCTGCTCATCCGAAAGAGCCAAACCAGTTTGCCTTTGGGCTAACAAATGGTGAGGTCGTCATCGTTGAGCCTCTAGAATCTGAAGGTAAATGGGGTTTGCTGCAACCAGTTGACGATGAATCATATAACGAAAAGCAAGCCGACGATATTCCTGCTAGCTATCCTTAGAAAAGATTGAACAATAAGATGGTTTCAATCCTTATTTTGGTTTACTATTGAGTAAAAATGTAGTGGCACAAACCAGCTAGACGAGGGAGGGTATATGTACATATAAATATTATATATAAAAAATTTTGCCCCTTGTTCATGATGCTTTGCCTTCTCTTTAGCCCTTCTTTACTTTTAGGAGAATGCTATTTAGAACCAAAATTCAAGTTTTGGCCTTATCTAAGGACAGAAATTCTTGGGCTAACATTCTCCCGTACTTTGTTACAAAGTCTTTGGTGTGACACCGGTCAAAGACTATGTTAGACAGTGTTGCATACCCGTTCACATATGCCCAAGTCTTTTTTCGTTCGGATTGGATGTGGGACAAGCTACCTTAACATCTAGAATGCACCAGTCAAATACTCATTGATCCAAGTGTGTTAACCTAGCTTTAAATTGAAAGCTCAATGAATAATATTGGTGCAGATTTTTATGGAGATTTTTGTCATACATGTCTGCATTTCAACACATATTCACATAAATGATTCTGTATAGAGATTAAACCATGCATATAAGATAATATATGTCGTTATACATATTGGAATATAAATATACAAGAACATGTAATTTGAAGGGGGGATTGGGTTAAGAACATGTATGCGTTATGTAGTAGATGCATGGGCATATGGAATGGTCCAAAGGTTAGCATGGGCAGCACACAAGCACTTACAAAATTATTATAAAGCTAGGAAGAAATGTGTAATTGTAGATACCTTTTTCTAAGTTTATGGAAAGTATTAGGTCTTCTTGCTAGGTCAAGTGTATTTTCGTTGCAAGTCGCTAAAGAAAAACATGATTTCTGGGGGAGAGAGATACTATTTCACCAATCGAGTCACGGGTTTCTAACATATTCATGCCTAATGATTTTTCACAAAGTGAACAAGCTCGAGGGCCGGAAAAGATTAAAGAAAGTATGTAAAGATACCATAGGGCACAAAAACATGTAAATTATCAAATGAGTAAAATTTATTAACAAAAGAAGAGTTGTTGCCAAGGAGAGTAAATTTTATACAATAGTTTATTGATGCATCCATCTTCTTCATTTTATGCATCCACCTTCGCCACTGCAGACGCATAACTTACGCTGCTGTCCCTAGTGGATTTGCATTGACTTGATTGCTCATACCGAAGGAACTTGATTGTTGCTTTCATCAAGCAGTTCTCCAGCATCTGGTTCAATTTAAAAAATATATATAAATAAATAAATAATAAATAAAAAAAAAAAACAACTTAGCAAACACCATAATGCAGTTGCTAAGAATACAGATTGGCCTCAACAAAACAATGCAAATAATAATAATAAAAGACAGTACCAAGAAAAAAAAAGAAGACAGGATTCAGAAAAATGACAGAATCTTTTGAAATGTCATCCGTATTTCAATTAACTATACAAAACTAAGATAAATTCAAAAAATCAGCGGAAAAATCTTAAAATAATCAAAGCAAAACAGTGGCGAACAAGACAAAAAAGAATTTAAGATATTTACATGGAGAAAAACATTAATTGGATGGCGCCCACAAATGGTGTTGTTGAACTCCAACAGGTACTGTTTAAATGCATATGGATCGCCTGTTTCTATTATATCCATGCCCATCTTGTCCAATGCTTCAATAGATTTGTGAATGGCTCCATGTTTCTTGTCATAATGCAAGTAATTGAACCTAATATAAAAAAAAAAAAAAACGAATTTCTAGATATGTAACTAAATTGAGAAACCATTAGACTATACAAGCGCATGTGAAAAGACAATGTGAATACAAGCCTGATATGAGTTCTAGGTAACAACAGTCCAAATCAAACAATCATGAAGTCCGGCATTTTGGTTCAACTCAACGAAGACTTTTTCCAATTATATGTGATCGGCAACATAAATCTTGTTTTACCATTCCACTCTAACTAAAGTGAAGCCTGTGAAACATGGCACTGAAGAAGATTGCGCTAATGTTTAGGCGAATAATCTTAAAGATTCATGTTCATATAGCCCTAATAATTGATTTTAGTGTGTCAAATTACCTAACTCAACCACTCCTTTTTCTAGGTCTACAAACCTACTATGAAAAGATAAAGCACTAAGAACGACATTGGGTGGAGTTTATGTTCACCATTTTGGTTGAGAAATAAAAGTAGATCACATCCCAAAACCTCAGGCATGAAAAACATTTCTCCATATGAATGTAAAAATATAACTAAATGCATATTTATGAATGAATACATGTATACAAGGGTGCAGTAAGTAGTGACCATTTAAATCTAATACATGTGGAAAGACAAACTGACATCAGAAATTGAACATACCGAGAGCCCCAGTGACAAAAATCTGAGGATACAGAAAAGAAATTATTTGGATCATCCACATATTTGGCTAGCATTTTCCCATACATGGCTTCATTTTCACCATTAACTGCACTGACTAAAATAGGTACGATTTTTACCGGGTACCTGCATTAATATTATCTAAAGGTCAGCATCAACAAAGTATAAGCACGGGAGAACTTTCATCTGCAAGGAAACTTACCCATGAAAAACTTTAGCGAGATATGGCAAATGCATTTCCATACTATGTTCAGCCTCATCAACTTGAAGATCCATCAATTCAAATTTTCCTGTAGCTATTAGTTCCTCATTAAATGGGACAGAACCAAGTTTAAAGGTTATCAATTTTTTATTTAAACAAGCAATGTAAAATCATCATTGAGATACACACACAACATATATATGCATGTGTACAGTGTTGAAGCCAGAATTTCTCGGTTGGAATTTTTTTTTTTTTTTTTTTTTTGGGGTGGGGGGTGAGGGGGTACTATATAAAGAATTCTAAAAAAAATTATAATTATTATAATAATTTTCTTGAAAATATAAGTCCTAATATATATTCTTAAGTCGATCTTGAGGATACTCATACTGGTTTCGTCCTTCTAACTGTTGTATTGAGAGGCTGAGGCTGACCCTTATAGCTTTGAAATTCATTGGTAATAAGTGAGAATGCTTAGTATGAGCACCTTCATCATAACCTTTTTCCTATTCTTAACATAACCTAAATAATAAGGAATGCAAAACCTTCAAAAAAAAAAAAAAAAAACTTAAACAAGTAAGACGAGGAAACTAATACGAAAGGGACAAAAAAAAAAAGGGAGATGAATACGTTGTGGGCCGATAAATGAGATTGTCAAGTGTCGAACATCTATTTTTAACTTTGGTAATAAAGAAATAAAATGAAAATAATAATATCAAAATTATTTTTGAATTAAAATTGAAAAAATTATAAAATTGCAAGAGTTAGATTGACTTGGTCTAAGAGCTAATAAAGCATCATTTTCAAATCAATCAATTTTTAAGCTTTTAAAAAGTTTTTTTTCCTCAATTAAGCTTTTAATAATTACTAATTACTCATCAACATTTGAAATATTCCCGCCACGTCACCCACTCGCTTTAATGTAAATGTGGCAGAACAGAAAAGCTACATGGAAGTGTAGAGACAGAGTCTTGTGAAATAAAACTCCTAGAAAGTGCTAAGAAACTCATTTACCCTGGCGGCTCCTTTAAAAGGTAAATGGAGATACATGGCTTGGAGGAGAGGACCTCCCCAAGAGACAAGTTCAGATGCACCCTCAAGCTCTGTGAACAACTGCGAGCAGAGCCCTAGAAGGCTGGAACCTAATGAGGTTTGATGCAAAATCAAAATTATGGCTCTGACCAGGGTGCCACTGTGGGATGCTCAGAGGTTTTGTTATGAAGGCCCATATTACATGAATACCATTATGCATGAATATAATTTAAGTGTCATTACCAAATGCCCAAATTCAATGACACGAGGACATGGAAAATATTTATATTTTTAATATTCTTTTATTTTATAGGAAATTTATTTGTTATTATGTGTAGCGTTCAACATGGTCATTTCATTCATTTTGGAACAATAATGTAAACCAAAACAACATGATAAGAGACTTTTAACTTGAATTATTGAAAATGAATTTTTAAGTGTATCTCAAATCAAACATGTTAAATATAATATTTCATACGGGTGTTGTGTATCCCAAATGTACACAGGCAACGGCTAGAGTAGGGAGCTTGCAGAGGTGGTTTCATCCTCTTACTATAGTACGACACTGAAGACATGGGACTCGCTTTTGGTCCTTTTGAATGTAAGAAAGAGTTGACATCACATGACACTTGAAACAAAACCTTTAGACCTAATCATGAGACTTTCCTTCAACACACTTGACCCAAATTAACACTTCCAGTGCTACACACCCTTTTGGCAACTGTTAGATTACCAGTTGCCTCAAAAACTTAGGCTCTTAAAGGATGGTTCAACAATGTATATCAAGCTCCAACATCCTCCTTCATGTGCAACCCATAATGCATGTGGCGACTCAAACTATTGGAGTTGGATAAATTATTGAGCCCATTCTCTAACAGCTTAAGCTTTTAGGCGAATTTGGTAATCTAACATAACATCAAAGATTGGTTCTAGGAGATCTTGGGAGCAGGTATCCACCACTGCATTGGTCATTCTATTTGGTATCCAAGTTTGCTGCTTAACTCTCCACGTGCAAGACAAGATTGTATGTGATTGTTAGAGCTTGATACACATTGTTGGGCCCATTCTATAATATCTGAGACTTTTGGGGCTAACTGGAGGTCTAACAACAACTACGGAAACATAGAATTTTGGTCTTGGGTTCTACAACCCAATTGACCACCACATCTTTGGGAGCATTATATGAAGCAAGAGCCATTTTAACGGGCAAAACATTTTACGCCTAAGAAAACCATTGGGCTGGAACCTATTTACTTGACCCTCATCTCTCTCTCTCTCACACACACGCGCGCGCATATACATATATGTGTCCATGTCACTTTTGTCCGACCTGGTTCTCCTTGGTATTCTAGTAAACGTGTATCACCTCCTAAACCAAATAAATATGATGCACCGTGAATAGAACTTGTGATGGACTCAACATACAGATATATCCTTTCAGATGTTGGAATCTGATTAAGAGTCTCTTTAAATAGAAGGGACCCGCGGCGCCCGGGGGGGGGGGGGGGGGGGGGGTTGGGGAGGGGGGAAGAGTTGTTTTTGTTCCTTTCTTTGGATTTTTTTGGATTAAGAATAAAGACCTAAACTATTGCCACGATGAGTAGGAGATTTAAAAGTTAATTATGAGCAATCAAGGTTATGCATTGAGATTGAATAATATTGGATGAACTTTGAAAAGCTTTGAGCTCTCTCTCCTTCTACCTCTTCTCCCTCTTCCATTCTCATCTCCGCATCTCTCTCTCATGCATGGGAAGAACCAAAGTCGATAGTTACACACTTTCTTTTCTTTTTCCTCTCTTCTTAGGAAGATGCTATGGGTCCTCCCTCTCCTATGTGCTTCTATCTCTCAACCCTATTTTTCTTTAAAAATAAAAAATAGCAGGATGATTAATAGCCTACAACATCTTCCAAAAAAATCCTCGTGAGTCAGTTGCATCAGTGTGGTATCAAACCATAACATTTTTTTGAAGATATCAAGATGATACAATGACCACCTCGAGGCTTGGAAGTCGCAATGTGACCTTCTTCCCTCTATCTCTTTCTCCCTCATTTTCTCTGTTCCTTTCTCATCATATCATATCACCCACCACATGTTTTAAGAAACTTGTTATGAGAGTCATGTTAAACAAGTTTGGTATCAAAGTCCATATCTATCAAAGATATCAAAATGATGCAACAACTTTTTCTGAAGTATAACAAAACTCAAGATTAAGTTATCTCTAACAAGAAGAGATTGACGCATAATAGTATCATAGGCCCTTGGCAGTATCAAACTCTACCACATGAAAGTACCGTCAAAGGCATATCTAACATGGTAACCGAGAAAATGTTAATAATTCTATAGGAACTTTTCTAAAGATTATTGTTGAAATTCTTATTTTTAGAATGTTTTAGGTCTTTAAAATACAATAGAAGTCTTATATTACTAACATGTTCCATTATAGCTTTGTAATGCTGTAAGACTTATATATAAGCCTCATACGTAAAAACGAGTTGGACATTGAGATGGAACAATAAAGGCCAATTGATACAAGGGATAAACATTTGATATTAGTTTTGCTCAGAGTGACTATTCTCATACTCAAACCACATTCTCCCGCTTGTCCACTCGAGTTTTAACCGTTACACCAAGAAATGGCCCCTTCAGATGGAATAGAATCGGATGAATATTTAGACCAGCTTTAAGCTCTCTCTCTCGTCCCTTCTCTTGGTGCCATCTGACCCAGGTTGCTTTCCTCTCATAGTTAACATTTGATATTATTTTTGCTCAAAGTGACTATTCTCATACTCAAACCGCATTCTCCCGTTTGTCAACTTAAGTTTCAACCATTGGACCAAGCAATGATCCCCCTAAAAAGGAACACCTCTTCCCCGAGCACACTCCCCAGCTGTCCTACCTAAATTTATTTACCACTTTCCTTTGGGCTTACCAGCAAATAAGCAGAGCCTAAGCGGATCAGTAGACTTCAACAGGTTCATTCATTTGTCACAAGAATTATCAGATCTCATTCTTAAAGGAATTATTTTGACAAAATTACAACAAAATAAAATGATCTCACACAAAAATAAAGTCACAATACCTTCCAGATCAATAGGTAGGTCCCCTATTGGTGTCTTGTACACTGTGGCTCTTGAAAGAGCACATTTTGGAGTGTAATAGTGGTGAGATGGACCAAGAACAAACACCCGAGAACTGAAAAGCAACAACTTCCTTTATGATTAGCAACAGAGAAGCAGGCAAACTTTATCGGTTCACTTATGAGCTAGCATACAACCATTCAAACATGATTATTTTGCATTATGAGTCAGCAAGCTTAACAAGTTGGTTAGGTTGTAAAACAATTTTGTTAAAGCAAACAATAGAAGAAGAAAAACTATGAAAACAAACTGACATGTTCGCTGGGTCTATGTTCGCAAATGCAAAGGCTGCTGCACGGCCAGAATATGAATAACCTGCATGACTAGTGGGTTCAATGCCACCATAGAATGATGAATAAATTAGAACTGTCACTGATTAAAGATAATAATTGATAGTAAATGACAACTTACGGAGCAATAACTCCTCGAACATCAGAAGAACTAGTTAGGCCTGACGCTCTAAGCCATCCATCAAGCTCTTCTGTCAATGTTTTAGCTGACAAAAGCAATAAAATGCAACACTATGAGAACCCTTCCTGAAAATAACTAATTGTTCAACGCTAGTTTAAAAAAGCTCATCTTTCCCTGGGTCATCAATATGTTTTGTATTAATTCAAGTGCATCAGTCATGCCCATAATCATTGGAAAAATAGATTCCACACGCACTATGCAATTTAAGTGTGAGAAACAACAAATTACAGAGAAAAGAAATTTGCGACATATTATCCACCATGGCAAATGACTAAAACTGTCTCCTCCTTTCAATAGATAATAAGCCTTGAACCCCTTCTTCCCCTCTTTTTAGATGCTGACAGTCTAAATACATATACTTGTCAGACATGCTTGTTTAAAGATCGTAATGAACAAATTTTTGGTTTACCATGTCATGAACAATTATAACCATTAAACAACTCACTCTCTCTCTCTCTCTCTCTCTCTCTCTAACACACACACACAATAATTTAGGGAACCTCTGTCCTTTGATATTGCAAAGGAAAAAACCACCAAAATGAGACCAATAGACAAGAAGGATAAACATCTCTGACCGCGAATAATTTTTTTAGAATTTCACTTGATTGATAGCAACATTGCATAAGAGAGCCCAACTTTTCTTCTAGAAATATTTTGTTATCCATTTTCATGTCTTCTGTAATCATCATCACTAGAGGAAGAGTTCCTCATTGGGGACGACACTGAGCCCATGTGACTTGTTGTCACAACATCGCCCTAAAATAAGCAGCCGGTATGTTCAGTAGCTTGCCATTTGGTCATTCCTGTATATTAAGAGGCAACCAATCTTCACTTTCGTGGCCCAATATGAATAAGATGCAGTACCAACAACTTGCCTTTCACAGCGTCAAATAATTTTCATGCCATTGAAGGGTCTTTCTTAGACATTGGCAGCAAATATAGTGTCTTAACCTTCAATAAATTTAATTGTTGTCCCCATTGTCCTGTACCTCCAAGTCTCTTTATTGTGTGATATATACGTCAACACACAACATTCAACAACCTAAAATTTTTTTGTCATAATTAATATATTTTCTCAGGTGACAACGCTTCCATTGACACTCTGAGCACTTACCAATTTGTGATAATGCTCTTGACGTCATGTTGAGCCTCTAATCCCTTTTCTGACTAAACTGATAATTCAACTTGTATTGTCAAGGAACCCATACAATAACTTCATCAGCTTTTACAATCCAGGACACTCTAAAAGCAATTATTCACTTCATCCATCCCACACTATCATTGATCCGATATATCATATATGAGCACTTGAACTTCATCAATTTTCATAATTTTATCATTCATTCAGGATATTTCTTACATTTTCCAAGCTTCATGACAAAAGATCCATAAAAATGGAATCTTTAAAGAAAAAATTCTAAACAAAATTCCACTAAACAAAATTCCCTCGAAACAAGAAGCCTGACAACAACAAACAAACCTTTTTCCCAACTACTTGGGGTCGGCTTCATAAATTCTATGTTTCCATTTCACTCTATCTAAGGCCATAACCTCAATCAAACCACATACTGTCATATTATTCTTTATTAACTCTACCATGGTAACTTTGGTCTTCCTCTTACCCTAGTATTATCCCCAATGTGAACTATGTCAATCTTCCTACTAGCACATTTAAAGATCTTCTTTGCACATGTCCAAACCAATGTTAACCTATTTCCTCTCATTTTATCTCCAATTTGGCTACTCCATGTTAGGTTTAAATAAATAATCCACATGTAGAAATCAAGAATATTACAATTAATTAAATAGAGAATTTAGGCTCGTACCTGATTGATGATTAAATCTTTTGATACCTTTAAGAATTCCTTAGCGCCCTTTGAGAGATCTGAAAAAATTAGAGCGCTTTACCCCATTCTGAAAGTTGTCGATACGATAGGTCTGAATAAGAGTTTTAAAACCCTTATATATAACAACAACAGGGGGGGACGGCTTCTTTACAAACAAGCATACCTAAGTTTCCCTTCCTATCATGGAAACTTAGATATTAATGGTTATAATTAAATCACATCAAATAAGTTGAAAAACCACAATCCAACGGTATAAAACTATACTCCCAATTAGACCACCAAATTGGAAAGTACAACCCAATCCATCAAGTATCAATAATCACATTGCAATCCTATTTTAGAAAGCGTAGTGCATTTTAATTATTTAAATATATATATAAAAATTCCAACAATCTCCCACTTAGTCCATGCACTCTAAGTTTTATAAAATAACACTATGGATTGCAACAACACTTTATAAAAGTCGAGTGGCCACTCATTTTTATTTAGAAAACACAATTATCGAAATTGATGGATTGAAAACTTTAAAACACTTTCCTCCATAAATTTCCTCAATAGTGGATCATGAATGCATAGACAAGTAATATATTAGTCTAAACAATTCCATGGTTTCAAAACCGATTCCATCTAGGATTCAAGCAAACATAGTGGTTTTTACTGTATTTCATGAGATGTGCAAACTGCATGTGGTCTAAACGCACACCTCACTATTCGTCCTGCTTCATACCATCGCAGTATGTCACCTGAACATATTACAGCAAATCGCCAACCTTCTGTTCAGTGTGAGGGTTTACCGATATGGAGCCCATCCCATATCTAGCCCAAGCTATCCATCCTACTTCATACCATCGCGGTGTATCACCTGAACATATTACAGCAAACCGCCAACCTTCTGTTCAGTGTGAGGGTTTACCGATATGGAGCCAATCTCATATCTAGCCCAAGCTATCCTCATGGAGTGTGAAAAAACTCCCATAGGCAAACTTTAATATTTATGTTTGGATTTACCAATGTGGTGTCAATCTCACATCTAGTCCAAACAACCTCGTGAGTGAAATACCACTCCCAGACAAATCTTATATTTGGATTTACCGATATGGCGTCAATCTCATATCTAGCCCAAACATCCGTATGAGTGAATTATCACTCTCAGACAACCTTTAATAATTATTTTGGATTTATTGATGTGGTGCCAATCTCACATCTAACCCAAACAACCTCATAAGTGAAATATCACTCAAGGCAAACATAATAGCACGTGCATAAACCATATCTATCAAGATAATAATAATTATGCATCATAACTTTATTTTGGATGCAAATATCTGTCACCATAAGGCGTAAACTGGAGGAAAAATAACTATCATCACAAGGCATAAAGAAACTAACTATAATATAGCATATACAAAAAGAAATACAAGACATCATACCATAATGACTCTTGAACACCTATCCGAATCACGTGCTCTATACATACTTTATTATCTTCGACTGAAGACTTTAGTAAGAGGATTTGCAATAATCTTTCTGTAACCATATGGGGAAATCTTAATAGCACTTAAACCTTAACCTTCTCATGCTCGAAAATGTACTCTATGTCAATGGGCTTACTAAGCTTGATCACCCTTAAATTGTTCTATATACTTAATTAATATAAGCCTTTAGAGAAAGTCCAAGTATTCCTGTAGCGTGTTCTCTATGAATCCTAATGCCAAGGACATACTTTGCATACTCATGTCCTTCATGTCAATTCTTTACATAAAATTCTTAATATTATGTATTACATGAATGTTATTGCTACCTTGCAAAATATCAACAAATAGGACAAGGAAAACAAAATGACTCCCACTGAACTTAAGGTATATGCATTTATCCATAACATTCTCTTTGAACTTACAATTAGTAACCACTGTATCAAAATTTTGGATACTACTGCTGTAAAACTTATTTAAACCATAAATGAGTGATAATGAAAGAATGACTCTTAAAGAGTTCTTTAATGAAACCGGAAATAAATCTCAAAGAAAACAACACTTCACTTTTGCTTAAGCACTTGACCACCAATTTTGTCTTATATCCACCAGACACCTCAAAATCACCAACTACAGTATACTTCCAAACTCTAGAAGATCTCCTAAGCTAAACTGGCTTAGGAACTAGATTGGAAACTAAAAGAAAGGCCTACAAAGAAGAAATAACTAAATGAGTGGGAATAATTGAAAGAGTGGGAATTAGAGCTTTAACTGAAACCACTATAGAAAGTGGAATAAAGCCTGAAATAAATAGAATAGATGCTGAAAATACTTTTCTGCAAAAGAAACTACAATATCTTAAACTCTCACTGGATTCGCCACTCTCATTAAATATGCATGACATATTCCAATAATCTCTATAGGTCTACAGGACAGTAAAATCTCGAATTCTTTAATCTTTCAAGATGTCTAATAAAATAATCATTGGTAATGTGAGTATTAAGCTCCTTAATATCTGCATTATATAACTCTGTCTCTATAAGACATCCCCACACTTTCTTTTCTGTAACTTTATTTTGCCCAGGAGAACTAGGAATGGTGTACTGTGGCACAATGCCCTACTATTTAAGTATGTACTGAAAGTACTACAATTTACACCCTTCTTACCATTCTCCCAATAAAACTCATCACCTTAGTCCGATTTTAAAACCATAATCTTTATACCAACTACTTTCAACTTTAGTCTAGTAGATTTTACACACATCAAGTGCTTCGGACTTCTGGTGGATTAAGTACACAATCATACCTTGCGAACCAATCAATGAAGACAATGAAATACCTTTGCTGCAAACGAGCTACAATAAGAAATGGACCACAAATGTCGGTATAAATATAGTCTAAAACCAAATGACCGACTAGCCTCAAAATTACGTTTCTTAGCATTTGTCCTTTGACACAACCAACGCATAAAATTTGTGGCCCAATAATCTCATCATTGACCAAGCGTTCAAGTCTCTTTGGAGAGACATCCCCCAATATCCTATGCATAGCATAGATGAATCCTCTCTAACCAAAGCATGATTTTATTCGGAAGGTATCTAGTCTATAGAAAAACAAAAAACAAGTTGGATCACACTCGAATCCATCCACCATGTCTATACCTATACTTTTACCAAGTTAGACTCAACTATTAACATGGCAATTTTCTTCTTACTTTGTTTTTCTTTTCACCACAATAACCTTTTCTTTTGATGTCATTTTATTTCTACATGATCAACATTTATCATTCCATGATCAATGTTTTTATTCTGTTTAGCCTTATTCACTTTCTTACCGCCTAGTTTCTTCATGAAACTATTCTTACTATCACCGCAAGATAAGCTGACTCAGTTTTAACACCCTTGAGTCATTTCCATTCAATAACACAAAATGCTAACAGCTGGTTAATGCCACATTTAACCTTTTGTGAATTATAATTTACCTTGAAAAGTTGGAAAAACCTAAGCAGAGAATAGATCACCATGTGGACTAATTAACTTATTAGCAAATATGATTCTCTACTACCTCAGATCATTAACCAACTTGCACATCTTATAGATGTACTCCCTCACTGAACCATTACCATCATATCTCACTAACATAATCCATGTCAGATAATAGAATTGTAGTTACTTCTTAATACCCATTAACTCTTTCTTGATCAAATCAAGAAGCTCCTTGGCAATATCAAAACTAGAATACCACCCTGAATAGTATCACCAATAGAAGTATAAATTAATCTAATGGCATGGTAGTACCTGTAGTTCACTTAAAAAAATGCAATAACTTTTCTACCTAAGAAGACAAAGCACTGGGTATATGGGTTTCTTTCTAAAACAACAGACACGTGGTCCAAGAAATCCAATATAATATCAAAACTTGTCTTTTAGGCAATATAATTTTAACCATTCAATGGTTCAATCCCTATAAGATATCTTTAAATTGCGGAAGCGTCTGTAACCTGAATAAATGTTATATTGAAATAACATCACATAAACAACATATAGTAATATATCTCAGCTTTAGGGATTATAACTTTAATTCGTGTTTGGGGTTTTAAGCCGAATTTATCAGGGTGTTTTACTATGTGCAAAACCATTCACCCCGCGGGAACAAATAAAATACCATCTAAAAATCACCTTTTGGCAGAATTTTAGATTTTATTTTACCCCCAAACCTGCGATCAAATCGCACATAAACCTATTTGATTATACTTGAATTATTGCTAAACACTTCCACTACCTTTTGGCAAGAGGGTTATTTAGTTATAATCTAAGCACTCTCAAATATTCTACTCACTTATCCCACACTAAGACATTGATCACCTTTTGGCAGAACTAATGCCTTCATGTAGGTAAATGCACTGTGAGACCTCAATAAGACCAATGTTTTAAAAATAATAATAATAATAATAATAATAATAACCTCCGTGAGCGTGTCACCTTTTGGCAGGCATCACCCACTTTAGCTATTACCTTTGAAACGGTCACTTTACCGGTCTTCCTAAACCCCAAGGAAAGACCTAAACTATAGATGTTCCATTTTATTTATGTTCAACAATTTCTTTATAATGCACATAAACTAAACCCAAATATTATGGAACATTTGATTTCACTGTAATATAAATGGCTTTAATACAAATAAATAAAGCCTCCTCATACTAAAAAAAAATTACAGTGAACAATATAATAATAATATGCACATCAATCAAGATTTAAAATCTCAATTCTTTATATACTTGAATTAAAATCAAATAACAAAACTTGATGCATGTATATTATATATCTGATGAATAATTTAAAATACTTGAATCTTTAAATCATCATACCAATAATACTTGCTTATGACATGCAAGCCCCCATAAGTTTTTTTTAACTTAAAATTAAATAAGTATCATTAATTACTTAATAAAATACTGGACATAGAGCATGGTTAGATGGCCACACAATTTCATGTTAAACTAAAAAGTTCACCTAGTCATGTAATTCAAGATAAATACTTCATAACAGAGATCTCAAATATACCTCATAACAGAGATATTAAATATTCATTATTTCTTCCTTTACCAATAAATTATTGGTATAATCTAACATCCAAGAAATCACATTTAAGTTATTTCTTGAACAATTTAAAATAGGTTGGATATTCATTTAACATGGATAAACTAAACACATACAATTGAATGGTAAATGTAAAGTTACTTGAAAAATATTCTTTTGGCAAAATATATATAATCATGCCACATAAAAACTATGTTTCAGATAATTGTATAAACATGTTATTATTTTTCAATCTTTACAACTAAATTTTGTATAGCACTCCTTAACCCAATTAATAAGAAACAAGCACCGCCTTTACTTTTATTTTTATTATTTTTAACCAGACAAAACCAATCAATTAACCAAGCCTCACACAGGGCAGTGGGCAATCAATTGACAATGAAACTTTTCAATTGCCTTCAATTGGGATATATACAAATCCATCTGTACATATATTAAAATTTAATTATATTCAATCAGATCACTGAATGAATTAGATCACTCAATCATCCAATATATGTTCTCATACCAAATGAATATATATACCCAAAATAATAAAATAATAATTTATGAAGAGACACCTCAAATATCATGAGATGTATCATCATATGCATGCAACAGTAACTTTACAAGGCTTATTTAATTACATACTCCAACAGTGAGCATCAAAAGTAAAGGCACGTTCCACGAAAACAAGAATACATATCTATTATGCATAAATATCTGTACAAACAAGCAACAGGCAACGGGGCTCCTTATTAGTATTCAAATTCTATGGAATTCGTGGCACATGACTTTAAACCCACGTGAATAAAGGAAACTGAAACAGTGAACATGACGGCAGGACCGATTATGGTAGGACTAAATCTTAAATTCTTTCTCCTCTTGATTTCTTTAATTAAAAAAAATTTAAACCTTAACGTTGCTCTGATATCAATTGTTGAGTTTAAATAAATAATTCACGTGTAGAAATCAAAAATATTACAATTAATTAAATAGGGAATTTAGGCTCGTATCTGATTGATGATTAAATCTTTTAATACCTTTAAGAATTTCTTAGCGCCTTTTGAAATATCTGAAAAAACTTTATATATAACAACAACAGGGGAAACGGCTTCTCTACAAACAAACATACTTAAGTTTTCCTTCCTATCATGAAAACTTATATATTAATGGTTATAATTAAATCACAGTTGGAAAATCACAATCCAACGGTATAAAACTATATTCCCAATTAGACCACCAAATTGAAAAGTACAATCCAATCTATCAAGTATCAATAATCACATTGCAATCCTATTTTAGAAAGCGTAGTGTATAGGACCATAAAATAATTTTTATTATTTAAATATATATATAAAAATACCAACACTCCAACCATCTCTCGAATTTGATTATTACTAATTCTATCATTTCCAATATCATCATATTTATCTCCATTAAGCGAGAAAACTCAATAATTTGCCAAACAATTCTTAGCTATATTAAAATTTTAAAATCAATAAGCACTCTCCAACAAATGTGTGTGTGTATATATATATATATATTGATCGCAATAAGCATAACACACCAAGAACATAGCAAATGAGACTCGAATTAGATGAAATTGTGAAGAAATTATTGATGATGACTTACGATTGTCAGTGTACCATGAACCAGCGTGCGATGCCCTTATGATTTTCTCCATAACCGATGTTTGCTCCTTTAATGTCATGAACTGAAAATGAGCACTGAATATGTATATGTGTGTGTATATTATATTTATATAGATGCCGAAGATTCCAATTTGAAGAGCAGACAAGTAAAGTGATCGACACGTCTCTCTTTTACATGTTTTTTTTTTTTTTTTTTTTTTTTGGAAGCTAAGCCTTTACATGTTGCTTTCAAATAAACGGATGGCTACATTTGAATTTGAATTTTCGAATTAGAATGAGTAGAATTGGAGAAAATTTTAGTTCAATTTTATGAGTTACTTTTCTCCAATTCCATTCCTACGAAACATAACCTCTCAAACTTGATTCTCGTTCACGTAAACATATTATTGTAGTTCTTCTTAATATATATTCGATATGTTATTGCTATGTAGTAGCATATTTAAGAAACTAAAAATGTTATTTCAACTGGACAAATTGAGGAAATTTAATTTAGATCATATTTATATTGCGTTTGAAAGTACTGAATCGTTGTCTTAGAATTAAAATTTAAAGAAATTTAATTAAAAGTTTAAATTAAATTTTTTTCGATATCAAATCTAAAGCATCAAATTAATTTATTATTTTTATTAAATTATACTGCCTTCATGAGTTAAACATGAGCTATTTCTTTTAGAGCAAAAGCTTTGTTGAATTTAATCTCTCTCTCTCTCTCTCTCTCTCTCTCTCTCTCACAGAGGCACAGCAGAAAGAATCCAACAGGCCTTGGTAATTGTCATACATCCACAACTTTTATCTTTTTTTTTCCATAGAAATTGAACCTATAGGCAGTTCAGTTAATGAGCTTTAATAAGTTCAAGCTCTCTCTCTCTCTTTCTCTCTCACACACACACACACACTTTGTGAGACTGGACATAGACATACGTGAAAGGAATTAGTAATGTACATGTCATGTTTGTAAACGTTTCAACACAGAAGATTGGCAGTGAACACAAACAATAGACATATAAAATAGAGAAGAGCCCCTTCAACCAAACAAACAATTGGAAATAGATGATGGCTCATTCAGATGCTACAGAAAGAAAGCAAAATGACTCAATTGACCCTGTGTTGTAGCAATTGGCACTAATCAAATTTCACCGTCGAATTGATTCAAAAAAAAATGAAGATAGAAAACTAAGATTCACTTCTTCTCCAGCCATATAAAATCCACAAACTGTTACAATGAAACTCACAATCTATAATGAATAACAAACAACAGAATGCTACTACTGCTATTTATTCCTCAATTTGAATTTACAAAACCAATCATTTACCCGCCATCTCAAACAGCGAATAACTGACACTGAACGAATACAAGTCCAGTTTCTTCATGTAGTCCCTCTCCAAAGAGGAAAAATAAATGGTATAAACGGCTTTGCAGCCCATGCAAAAAAATCACTCCCATCACAAAATCAACACTCGACAACAAACTCTTCGTCCTTTGCTTCCAAAAGCAAAAAAACTGAAGGTGTACGTAACAATCCATTACAAAAACCTGCAAATACAGTACAATGTTTCACTCAGAAAGGCTAACTACTCGAACCATTAGCTTTCAAATTTAGCTTAGGTAAAATAGCAAGAGATAATGACATAATGGCAAGTTTAGAAGCAATTCAAGAGAGAAGACTTATCCCCAGACTTAAAAAGGAAACTGCTTGAAGTTTTAAGACTGAACTTGCAATATATATATGTGTGTGTGTGTGTGTGTGTGTGTGTGTGTGTGTGTATTTACTTCATACATCAATGCAAATAAATAGTAAGGTATAATGTTACAAGCCCAAGCAAAAGAAAAACTTTCTTGAATTTGCCTCCTGAAACATCCTTTAAATAGAAATTCAACAGTAACACATTCTGCATTCATATACATCAACTATTGCAACGCCAAGCAAAAAGGAAGAAAGACTAATACCCAGTTCTAGTCCTGGGGAGGAAGGACTCAAGACACACCTATTTTTTCTTTTTCCTTTTTTTAATATAAGTGAAGGACCCAAGACAGACATAACATTTGGCATTTAACAAAGTGACTAGTTAGTGGGTTGAACTCGCATTAATAGCACTGACGAGCAAGCATTAAAGCACAAATCCATATAGTTTACACATCAATTGCACAACATTTTAATGTGAGAGAAATTTTAACAAAGACCAACAAAGACTTCGGGTTCCCAAAAAGAATTGAGCAAAGAATTGAGTTCCTATAAACATTAAATTCCAATCATACATCCAAAGTCTTCAAATGTTTTCAAGCATCCAAGTGCCACTTCTAAATAAATGTGAAACCAACAAGGTGACAATCACTGCCATAATGGTTAACCAACCAAAAATTCTATATGTTTATTACTATCTATATTCTCATGACAAATGTGATTAAAGTTTCTCTCTCTCTCAAATATTGCTAATGCATCTAACTAGAGAAATCAGGTTAGATGTCTTTGACTATTCAAGTGCCTAAAGAAAGAGATCAAATCAAACTTCGAATTTGGTATTACTTTAAACAAGGGCATAAACAAGCTTATACTGGTGTCTGGTATGTACTACATGTTCATTCTGGACTTTTCCAAGTGCCCAAAGAGATAAATCAAGTCTAGCATTGACAATCTCCTTATCCTTTATAAAGATGAAAACAATCTAAATCTAAACCTGCTAAGTTTTATGTGCCAATTTTCTCTCTATATTACCTAAGAAACGTAATCCATCTTCCTCACTTGAAAGCTTAGTTTCTTTTTCACCCCAAGGGTCCTACTCCATGTTTAGATTATTGAGGTATGACTTATGAGAGCACTCTTTTGGAATCATCTTTCCAAAACACGCTTTCTCAATTGTTCGAGCCACCAGATAAACACGACTTTCAAAATCAAATGTGACAAGATTCTTGGGTATATGGTACAAAGGAATGAGGCAACCACCTTTATGAATTTGGTCAACGTATTCTAGTTATGGAGTTGTTATCAAAAAGAGCCTTTCCAAAATTAAAATGTTCCATACTCAAAGACCACTTCTTCAAAACATATGTTTTAGGAATTGTTTTAGGTGACCTAGCACACCTTAGCTCATGTTAGCTCATGTTTGAATTTAATCCCAAAAACTTGGAGTACAACAATAATCATGGATGACAGGTAGAGCTGCACCATGTCCAGACTTCTTTTTTTTTTTAGTTAAGTACTCACACATACATTTTAATTTTTCACAATTTGTCCACTATGGGGCTCGAACCCCTCACCTCCCCTTTGAGGGAGGAGAGGTTATACCATTGCCCAGACTTCTGTATGTTTACAATTTAACAGAACCACTAAAACTTGGAAAATTAGAAATACAAAGTAAAACTCGTGAAGTTTATTTTTGTCCATCTTGGATATATAACAGAATCGAATGTCGTATATTTTGTTATATTTCATCGATTTTGTCTTCACTATCACTTTTCTAAGTATTGTATATTGACAAATGCATGCCTATATCTCTCAGAACTGTAACTTTTGTCATCCTATTTATTGTATGTTGCTTAATGCTTCATTATTGCAAATATATTTGTTTTTTGTATATGTTTAGCTATTATTTTCTACTTTTCTCTTAATATGCTAAAATATCTTCTGATACCATCATATAATACAATAAGCAATAGAAAGAAACAACGAAACTGACACACCTTACATATCACAATTCAGCAACTATGAGTCTAATGACCATCAACTGTGAATGGGGGAGCTTACCATCAAATTTCCATTCCACTTATAAAAGCATGACACAACATCCTCTTTTCAACTTCCAGTAATTAGTATGAAATCTTGAACAATATTAAGCCTTAGATATTCGATTAAAGCAGTCTTTATTGCAACACCTAGTTGCAAATGACACAAGTATTAAATGAAATAAAAGTTTTTAGAAAAATCCGTTTATTGGAACATTCTCTCAATATGTAGATCCAAAAAAGATGAAAGATGTTTATATAGGTAATGGGTTCGGCCACTCTCTCGATGTGTAGATCCAAAACAAGACTAAAGGTCCATTCTTAATTTCCTAACCTAGTACCAGACCAAGTTGTTTTGTGAATCATTCAAAACCAATACAAAGGGGCAGGCTTGGTTCAGTTCTCAAGTTACACTGAACCAAGTTTTGGTTTGTTCTTGTTCTCAATTTGCGTGGAACTAACTTACACCCTAATACATGGAAACCTATCACAAGAATATGGCCCAAGAGAACTGAATTAAATGATGGCATCCTACCAACAGCCAGTGACCTAACGGTATCAGGCCCTTACTTTCCAAAGGGAAATCAGGGGTTCAAGCCTCAGTGAAGGCATGTGTGTGTGAATACCAATTAGGGGGGAAAAAATTAAATGATGGCATCCTGATGCCAATCCCAAGTAGACGAACCCTTTAAAATTCTTCTTCAATGTCTCGTTTATTTATTTCCATGGGCGAATTTCAACAAAAATAAATAAATAAATAAATAAATAATAAAAATAATATTGATAATAAATTCACATAAAACCTCTCCCTGTATTGCTTTCTTTTCCCCTTTTTTTTATACAAATAACCCATTGAAGTTACTCAAAATGTTACAATACAGCCACTTTCAGTTAGTTGATATAAGAAAGGTAATGTAGTCACAAGATGAGCATGTGACATATAATACGAGTGTTATTATACACCCTTAGGACAGTGATGACCCAACATCATAGCAGGAGGCCCATTATTTCTTCTTTTACCCTAAAGCATAAGGTCAATTTATCCTTACGAAATTTTAGATTTATATCCTTTTCTTGATCTCCAGCCATTTGCTCTCCAAATCTTCTTATCACCACTGTAATCATCCATCAAAAAGCAACCACAACTAGACCACCTATACTTCCATGGAAATTCCTCCACAACCACCCCCAATGGATGAAGTGGTGCGTGCATAAGAGTGGACGTCATTTTTAAGATTTTCCTTCCTTTCATGGTAAATTTAAGCTCCAATGTACTCTCTCTCTCTCTCTCTCTCTCTCTCTCTCTCTCTATCTATATATATATATATATATATATGTGGGTAAACTACAATGACCTCCCCTAAGGTTTGGCCTAATTGCAATAAACCTGAGGTTTGCATTTTTTTTTTACAGTGTCCCCCTGAGGTTTGACCTGATTTTGCAAAGACCTCCCCTCTGTACAAAATTCAGTACTTTTTGTCAAGAAAATTGGTTGAAGTGACCAAAATGTCCATCAATAACGTAGAAAATACGTTATTACCCTTAAAATGTCAAAAAATAACAAAAAAAAAAAAAAATCATAATTAAGTGGACTAAACTACCCTTACACCATGTCAATGAAGTGGACTGACTTTGACCTGGTTGTGCCACGTCATCCCTTCTTAAAGACTTTCTCTCGCTTCTTCCATGGGTTGATTTTCCCCACACTCTCTCCTTCATTCTATCTTCTCTGTTCATCATCCTCAATTATTCCTTTCGCTTCTCTTTCTCCGATTGTTGAATCTCTTCGTTCTCTATTCATCGTTTATTCTCAAATCTTTGTGTGGATAGTGGTCATCATGGTTGATTTTTAATTTGCGTTTGGCTGCTGATACTTTAACTTATACTCCTACCCTAATTCTTTCTTTATGGGTTGTGTATGTGATCAAATTGGGGATAGATTGATCAAGTAGTTACCCAAACTGATACTCTTCTCTTGTTTCTTAGCTTCTTGCTTTTGTCACTTCGCTTTGGGGAAATTTTTTTGATTAATTACCCAAAAGGCAAAATCTATAACTTTAGTTATGATTATTTATTTATTTATTTATTTTAGGTAAGCAAATCATTGTAAGACTCAAACCACTATGCAAGCAGCAAGGGGTTACACAGACGAAGATTGTCTCTGCAGAAGATAACAAATCTCTGGACATGGCTGTTGCTCCCTCATTAAAGCGGACTAAGAGAAGATGATCAAAACCAGATGAAGCAGCATTAACCACCAGTTGAAGAGAGAGAAGGGAGAGAATCGATCGAGAGAGACAGAAACGGAGAGAGTGGATAAATGGAGCTTGCTCTAACTGAAGAGAGAGAGAGAGAGAGTCCCAAATCTAATCGGCACTGACTTACACCGAGTAAGCACCAATGGCTTGTACGCCACGCCATTCATTAACTTCTGCTCTATCATTGCCCCCATGGATGTGACGGCGGAGGGTGGCGCCAGTAATGAGCAAGATGACCTCTGCGGCTGCTGGTGCGTAGAGATATTACATTCGATCTTCTTTGGCTGATCATTGAAAGCTCCACCTGGAAGTTCTCCCTTCTCTTAATAATTCTTCCACTTGTGGAGAAGGGCTATATTCTTTTTAGGTTACGGGTCTCATCTTTTAAACTCCCCTTCTTTTCATCTTTGAGTGGATTGGTGCTATTTCTGGATTCTCAGTTCTTAATTACTTAAGCTTTTGGTCTTCTTGCGTGGTTCGAATCACTTACAATACACGGCTCTACGAAGGGAGGGATTGGGTTATGTGAATCAGGTCTGGGCAATTGATTGGTAC